GTCCATTTTGCTATAATAAAACACCTGAGGCTGAGTACTTTAAAAGATAGAAGACTTTTGCTGGGCTAACAATTCTGGAGGTCCAAGAGTATGGCATTAAGCTCTGATGATGGCCTCCCGGTGAACGGCATCACATATCAGAGTATGTGCATAGGAGAGAGGGGTCACATAATCAGCGATGAAGCAAGAGAGTGGGCCAGGAGGGCCAAACTTGCCTTACACAACCTGTTCTGTTGGTAACTTATCCACTCCCACGCCAGGTGTTAATCCCTTCCTGGGTTAGTCCCCCCCCCACCTGTATATCACCCCCTAGGCCCCGCCTCTTAAAGGTTCAGCCACCCCTCAATACCATCACACTGGGGACCAGCTTCCAGCCCATAAGCCAGTGGGGGACAAATGATATCCAAACCATAGTGGGGGTGTTGTGGGATGGGAGATATTAGTCAAAAGAGGTGAGGTTTCAGTTAGGAGGAGTCAGTCTCTGAGACCTAGCGCCCAGCACAGTGACGATATTAATGATAACATAGTGTTCATTTTAAAATAAACACTATGAGAGGAGCTTTACCTGTCTGGTTGCCAAGGTGGGAGACCAACGTGGCAGGTTCTACTCTGACTCCTTGTGCCCACCTGGGATCTGGCACCAGCCACTTGTGCTCATTTCCTGCTACCTCCTTCCCCAGTGGGGAGCACCGACACCCTCAACCTGTTTATGAGCAGCGCCATTTGGGGCAGGGTGTGTGTTTCAGGGCTATGAGTTCAGGCAGCCAGGATTAGCCACTCTGGGCTCTGGGCTCCCAGAACACTGCCTGCCTGGCTCTGATGAAAGAAACTAATACAGGCAGGCGTAGCTTAAGGAGCAACGTAGGCTTGGAGCAATGCGTCAGGGTGATTTTGTTGCTGTGTGTACATCACAGAGTGTACTAACAAACCTAGATGGCGCGGCCTCCTATGCCCCGCGGCTGTTGGTGTATACATAGATACACACATAGAGATGTGGTATAGTGGATGCTCCTGGGGCCACAATGAGCAAACAACATGAAAAAAAAATCAAGCATGAGAAAACAATACGGTCAATAGACACAGTGAGCCGGGCACAGTGGCGCACACCTATAATCCCAGCAGCTCTGGAGGCTGAGGCCCGAGGATCAGGAGTTCAAAGCCAGCCTCAATTAAAGTGAGGCCTTAAGCAACTCAGCAAGACCCTGTCTCTAAGTAAAATACAAAATAGGGCTGGGATGTGGCTCAGTGGTCAAATCTCAGCAAACCCTACCTGTTTGTCACAGGGTACTGGGGTCCCTGCTATTAAATGTCCTCATGCTGAGAGAAGCTTTACCTGTCTGGTTGCCAAGGTAGGAGACGAGTGTGGCAGGTTCTACTCTGACTCCTTTGCCCACCTGGGATCTGACACTGGCCACTTGTGCCCATGTGTCCTTGTCTGAGAATGCACTCTATGAGGATGATCAAAGGTACGGAACAGGGAATACATACACTGGGAAATAGCCCCTTGTTATCACAGTCTAGTGTCATGTGCTGTAGGTGTGTTTACACCAGCGTTGCCCCAGGAGGGAATGACGTGTTGGGCTGTGATTTTACAATGTCACTAGGCAGTAGGGATTTTCAGCCTCATTCCAACCTTGGACCATTGTCTATTCCATCTATTGTTGACCACAGTGTTGTCCTGTGTCATGTGACTGTAGTGACGCACCACAGAAGTACCCAGAAAATGGTAGCTGTGTAACCCCAGCTTCCCAAGAGGTCCAAAGGTGAACACTATAGGAAAAGATAACCTGTGGCCTTTTGAGCCCTACATTCAAAAATCAAAGGGTGAGGGCTGGGGTTGGGGCTCAGCAGTGGAGCGCTTGCCTAGCACACGCAAGGCACTGGATTCCACCCTCCGTGCCACATATAGATAAATGAATGAATGAATGAATGAGTAGATAGATAGATAAATAGGTAGCTAGATAGCTGAATGGATAAATGAAAGAGTGAGGTTTATAAAGGTGTGTATTTAGCACCCAGAGACACCCCCCCCTTCATCCTGCCTTCTTTTTTCTCTCTCCCTTTTTCTCTCTTTTCTTAAATTCAGTGATTAGCTGAACAACCCAATTTAAAAACAGGGCGTATGAGCCAACATCTCACAAAAAGAGATGCGGGACTGGCCAGTAAGCATATCCCCAGATGCCCATCATCACTCGTCATCAGAAAAAAGGGAAATCCAAATTTACCAAAGGGTAAATTCAAACCACAATAAGCTACCCTTGGTGTGGAGCTCAATGGCAGAGCTTGTGTCTAGGGAGTGCGAGCCCCTGGCTTTCAGCCCCCTGCACTGCAAAAACAAAGCGAACAGCAACAATGACACTTTGGTGGCTAAGGTAAAATTAAAAAAAAAAAAAATGACTGCCAATCCCAAGTGTTGGCAATGATTGTAGCACCTGGGACCCAGGGTGCAGCCAACATTGTGAAAAGGTGAGGCAGTGTGTTGTAAGTCAGTCATTAACCGTATGACTCTGCAAGTTCATGCCTCTGTACCCAAATAGTCAGAACAGCATTATTCTTAACACCCCCAAACTGCAAACAGCCCAAACGTTACAGCATATTCATACCCAGATGGAATCCTAGTGGGCAGAAAAGGGAATGAAATATCAATACGTGCAGCAACATGAATCAACCTCAAAAACTTTACGCTAAATGAAGGTCACACACTGTACACCGTCTGGGGTTGGGGGAAGTAAACGATAATCAAGTGCTTTTTAGGATGGAGAATTGTATAGCTTGGTTTGCTGGCAGTTACACAATTTCCCCAGTTCATCAAACTGTGCACTTAAAGTGGATGAATTTTATGGATCACAAATAATAATGCCTTTTCAAAAAAAAAAAAAAAAAATTCCAGAGGCCAGCTGTTGCAGGTCTTTCAACCTGTGGCCCCCCCGGGGCCTGGGTGTGAGAGAGCTCCTAATTGGGAACAAGGTCATCCCAGGCACCTGGGTTTCTCTTGCCTCGGAGCGGGGGATCCAGCTGACACTCACCAATTTCCAGGGGGTGACAGTACGTCCCAGGCAGAGGCTGAGGGGAAACGAGCTAGTGTTTCTGTCACTAATGATATGAGCCTTCATCGGATTCCCTGCCAGGCCACGTTCGCCGTCACTGCACCCATTGAAGAAGAGAACAGAGCGGTAACGAGCCGGGTGTCGTCGGCTCGCAAATAATTTATAATGGGCAAACTAGGACAGGAACGGAGCTTTTTTTGGCTAAGAAAGTTGCATGTCATTCTTTAAAATCTAGGCCAAAAAATTATTTATAATGCATAGACAGTCACTCAGAAAGTGAAAGGGTCCCTTTCTTCTCTCCCCTCTGTTTGAACACGCTGCCTTTTACCCTGAACCATCACTGAGGTACGTGGGCATCTTCCTGCCACCCGTCTGTGATAGGAGAGGACCCACAGAAAGACAGAGGGTGAGACCTTTGTAGCAGTCCCTGAGTCCTCAAGCCAACAACGACAGGAAGGAGGGGAAGAGAGAAAGGCCCTTGGGAAGACCAATGGCCACGTGCTCTCGAGGTGCTGGGCTTTGAAGACGGGTCAGCAGGTGTACCATGCACAACAGCTTCTCCATCCGTTTTCTGTCTGGGGTACACCTGGGAGGGGTGGGGGACAGCTCTCCCAGCCCAGATGGCTCCAGGACACTCAGACTGTTAAGGGAGGGGCTTTGGTGAGTTGCTGAGGATCAAGACCCTCAAGCGGCAGTGTCGCCGGCTCCCGCAGGGGAAGGCCTTCCCCATGGGGTACTCATTGGTCCAATGTCTTTTTTTGGGGGGAGGGAACAGCCCCAGAGCCCTGATCCCTGTTCTGATTTCTGTGGCGGTTAGGATTCCTCAGAGATGGCTTGGTGGTTCAGCAAAGTCCCCTCCTCCCCCCAAAACGAGCCCACTTCTCTGTCACCTCTTCTCTAGGTGTCCCAGAGTGCACTGTCCTGTTATTTAAGTAGATCTCATCTCTTGGAGTAGTTTGAGGTTCCACAGCAAAAGTGAATGGAAGACACGGAGAGCTCCCTGATCCCCCGCCCCACTGTTGACCCCCCCACCGGAATGATGAACGCGGTTGAGCCTCCTAACCCCAAAGTCGATAGTTCACGGAGGGTCGGCTCTTGGTTGGTAGGTTGAGGACAGGTGTTAGATGGCATGTGCCCACCGCTGCAATCTCGTACAGGGGAGTTTCGCTGCCCTAAAAATCCTCTGTGCTCTGCGTACTCATCCCTCCCTAAGACCCGCGGCAATGGCTGAGCATTTCCCTGTCGTCATAGTTCTGCCTTTTGCAGAATGTCACAGAGCTGGAATCCCACACTCGGAGGCTTTTTGAGACTAGCTCCTTCGACTTGGTGATGTGCACCTGAGTCTCCTCCGCGTCCTTTTAAACAGGGGTCTGGTCGCAGCAGATTGCCAGCCACACTCAGTGCCAGTCGTAGGTGGGCGCTGGATCACGGCTCACGCACCATCGGGCAAACCCTGTCTCTCCAACAGGGTGCCGAGAGAAGCTTCCCAGGCAGGAGCCGGGATGTGTGCCCTGGGTGGTCCACTCGGGACACCTGGCCACCCCGCATGACTTGGCACCAGGATGGGTGCTCTGGGTTGGAGGGGACACAGCTCGAGCCTGAAGAAGGGCTCTCAGAGTGAGTTTCCCCAGCAGCCGCCATCCAGGTGGACAGTGCACGGCTCGCCCTCCGAATCTCGGGGCTCTGTGAGGCCAGCCCGGCAGCCTCTGGCCCTGTGCTGGTGGGGTAGGTTGGGGACGTGAGTCAGAGCTTACTTATTAGTAACACTGTCTCTCTTTGTAGCCAAGAGTCTAGCAAAACAGTTTTCTCTCCCCATTACTCAGCTCTGAAATGTGGCTCAGGAGACCTTCCCGAAGGAGTTTTGGATGAGACGATCTGATAGACAGTCCTCCCGTTTCGTAAGCCTCTGTGAGGTGGAACGTTCTGGTAACCCGTGCCTTGTGGTGTTTCTAGAGCCTCTCGAAACAAGTCTGAGAAGAAACGTCGGGACCAGTTCAATGTTCTCATCAAAGAGCTCAGCTCCATGCTTCCTGGCAACACGCGGAAAATGGACAAGACCACCGTGCTGGAAAAGGTCATCGGGTTTCTGCAGAAACACAATGGTAAAGGTTGTGCTTCTTTCCGTTTCCCCCCCCTCCGCCCCACCTCGTCCTTTCCAGGGGGGTGATGACCTCCGCAGGCAGGTCCTTCTGGGTAGGATCAGCTGTCTCTCCCAGGATAGGTCACCCCACCAGGCACAGGCTTCCCTGACCAGCAAGTTAGGAGAGGACTCACCTCCCAGACTGCGTCATCATTCAGAGGACAGATCCCAGTGCAGCCTGACGGGTGGCACCCAGCCCCAGGGGGTGGCTTCACAGTGGGTACATCTTCATCAGAAATCCCTGGAGCAGGCAAGTCTCAAAGGTCAAGAGAGAGAAGCTTCCCAGTGGCTGCCCCTCGCTGCCCACCTCTGCTTTCCCCAAATGCAACCTGTTTGAAGTTCCTCTATCAGAGGTCAGTTTTGCCTCTTGCGATCTTATTCATGTGGAATCATGAGTTATGTACATAAAGCTTCTGCGATTTTTCTCATAGTCTTCCAGTGTCTTGCTAGTTTATTTTCACTGCAGAGAACATGAAGTTACCCCTCGAAGCCACGCTTGAGCCTGTGTTTCCTTCGTATCATCCTCTTTGTCCCTCAAACCCTTTCACCCCTTACGCCTGGTCACGCCTACCTGCCACTCACCTTGGATAGGACCCCCCCAAAAAAGTCATAGAATAGATGAGATGGTTTGGTAGGTATTCGCAAGCCAGAGGAGCAGAATTCTTTGTGCTTTAACCATGACACCAAACATAATAAAGTCAAAAGTGTCAGAATTATTGAGGAAGTAATTACAGTCCTGTGCTTAAAGGAATGTTCCTCTCCCACTGAACCTTTTGTTAGACAAGATGATTTCACGGAAGAGGGCATCGCGGGGACATCGGAAAGTTTCATTGTCCTTGTTATTCTTTTATGATTTCCTTGAAAATTATTTATACCTATTAAAAATGTGACAGTGATGACCTATCCCCTTCATTGTGTTTTTTTGAAACTGCCCAGGGGCAAGCAAAGAACATGTTAATTGCTTTTTGTGAAAAGTCAGGGAAGATCAATCAAGCAGGATTAGAATGGAGTGTTCTAGCAGTCTTCAATTTGCCCCGATAATTTAATCAGAATGGTTATATTTCCTAAATAATGGTTTAGCCAAGTGAAATAGCAGGTTGTTTTGATGCCAAGATATTTTGTACAAATTACTCAAACTAGGTCAGTGCCACTGAGAAGCAGGACAGCTGTTAAATAGGACAGCTGGGATCAAGTTCATCAGTGTAACATTCATGCCGGGCTCTGTCCTCTGTGGAATTACGGAATGGCCCAATCTGGGCCCTGGAAGGACAGGTCTGCAGAAAGCAAGCTCCTAACCCAGGAAGTGCCTGTCTACTCTCACTTTTTTTTTGTTTTTTCATAAAACGAAGGCCTTCTCCTACTTAAATGATCACTCCAGGATCTCACTTGTCTCTGTGATTCATTCATATTCAAAAGAAAGCAAAAAAGAAAAAAAAATCCACAGCAGATTTTGTGCAGAAATAGAGTTACTGGACCAAAATTTGGTTTAAAGCAAAAAAAAAAAAAACACAAATGCCAATCGCCTTCTGTATCATCCACATAGACTTGGCCTCCACAGGCACAGGCAACAGGGTGGAGAAGAATGATCCTGGCATTTCTCCAGAGCTCCCTGGGAGCCACCCACTGTGCCAGGGGCTTTGCGGGAGGTCACCTCTCTAAACCTCACAAGAGCACTGAGCTTGTCCCATTGCACAAACAAAGCCACTGAGGCCCATGAGGGTAAGTCACTCATCCAAGTCAGACAGCCAGTGACATGCGGAATGCAAACCCAACAGCCCATCTGCAGAGCCCTGTTTTTAACACCAGTTTCTGCAGCTTCCCCGGCAGGGGTGATATGTGGGGCTCTTGGACCGATTTCTATTATAGCTGCACTGTAGCTGTTCATGAATGTGTCCATGGAGTCCGCAGCTCAGTACATCAGACTCTCTGGCTGTGTGCTAAAGCCAACTTGTGCTTTAAGAGAGGATTGCTAAATTTTCAGGAGTTTTGCAAACCAGTGCACATCAAGTTGGTCATTGACATCAGCGTCGGTAGGAATATTTACCCAGAAATGGGCAGACCTCCCAGATCCGGCATTTTTCTTGCGGGTGGGAAGCCTTCCACCAGCAGAGTGCTGCGGAAGACTCGGGGCATTAAGTATCTTCAGAGCTTCCAGTGTTATTCTAGTGTGCAGACGGCGCTGAGAAGGGTGGGTTCAGACACGCTTTCTGCCTTCTGGCTCAAGGGAGACCACAGGGCAAGTGAGGGGAGATGATGAGGTCCAGGGAGTCGCTGTTATTATCTCAAGCAGCCCCGTCTTCTCAACTTGGGAAATAGACCTTGATCCTGGAATGCACATTTATTCTTTTTGAAGTGATCCAAATCCAAAGACTCTGACCATGTTTCTTTGTATGGAGATTTTGTGTCAATGGCATCTCTCATAAGAAGAGAAAACCCTAGATCATGTGGTTAACAGGGGTTGTTGTATATCCTTATCGCCCTCCATCTGGATGCCTGTTCTGCAGGGCCAGGCTGGCTCACGCCTCATCCTCTTCCTGTGTGAGTCCCAAGCTGATCAAATGTGATTTTGTCCCAACTCCTGTTCCTTGAATCTCCCGTGTCCCTACCTTCATGGATAGGGGCGGGCTAGGGTGGTTGAGGAAGGCTGTACAACAAGGAGAAATGTCCCTTGGACAGAGTGATATTGACCCACCCCTGCAGTTGGGTTACTGCCCCATTTTCCAGACTTTTCTTTGACCACACACAGAGCAAAGAATTACTATTCCTTGTTCTGACATCCAGGCAATCATTGGGAGGAGAACATTCTCTCACTGCAAGTTATACCAGAGTAGAATTTGGGGACCTAGCTGTTCATCACAAAGTTTTCCTCTAAAAATGCCCCCCTGAGGAGTTTTGCTCTCCTCTCTGTTTTGAAACACTTTGATCATACCCTTTGCTAATCCTGCCCTACCACCTGCAGCTTCTGATATTAAGCATATTAAGAGCCACTGGAGACAGGATTTGAACCCTGAGTTCTATTTCCCAGTATAACATTTTTTAGTCGCTTTGGGGCATCTTACCTAATTTATGTGTTTTTTTTTAAATATGCTATGAATCAAGCTTTAACTCTCAAGGACTATAATCAAATAGTTGAGATACAAAGTGAATGAAATGGCTACTTTCAATATTATTATGCTGGTGTCAAGAAAATATCCAGTCTTATGGGACGATCTGAAGATTTCCTATGTCAAAGCCAAGGGTCTTTTCTTTTCCTTCACCATTACATTATGATCCTCTGTCTATATAAAATCAGGGCTGCCAGAAAGACTCTTCTCCATTCAATCTACAGTTTGATCCCAGTGGTTAGAAGAGATTTTTAGATGAGTGTATGTCTCGGAGAGAAGGGAGTGGGCATGTTGGGGGTCCTAGTCTTATAAGTGTTCAAACTTGGCGTTCATTTGTGTGAAGACCTACAGGCTTCAGTTCTCTCCCTTGCCTTGGCTGAGACCCCAGGACAAACTCTGGCCAAGATTTCTGTGTAGTGCCCTGCCTCTGCTTTCCAGTATGCCATTTACCTCATTCATCATGGCACCCAGCACTGTGAGGTACCAAGCACACTGACCCTCCCAAGAGTCTCATGTGTAACTCAGCCCTGCTCATGCTCCTTATTTGTGAGTAACTGCTGGAATTCATTCAGGTTCATTCATTCAGATGACAGAATCCATTCCCAATTCTCCAGGCAAGAGACATTTCCAAAAGCATAGATGCAGGGGCAGGGGACCTAGCTCAGTAGCAGAGCATGTGATTAGCATGTGCAAAGCCCTCATTCACTCCCAAGCACTGATAAAAAGAAAAAAGTGCAAAAGAGAGAACCTTGAAATCTTTCCTAATTAACAGTGGAGAGATTATCTGCCTGAACAATTGCATTGTCCAGGAAGTGGTTCAACAGGTTCGTTTTATTCTCGGAGGTCTGAGAATATGTTCTTAGACTTTTCTAAACAAAAAAAATAATAATCTCTAAAGAGACTTCATGCCACATAAAATGTTGGTTCGAGATATTGAATAGTGACGCAGACCTGTAATCCTAGCAGCTCAGGAGGCTGAAGCAGGAGGATTGTGAGTTCAAAGCCAGCCTCAACAACAGTGAGGCACTAAGCAACTCAGCAAGACCCTGTCTCTAAATAAAATACAAAATAGGGCTGGAGGTGTGGCTAAGTGGCCAAGTGCCCCTGACTTCAATCCCTGGTACCCACCCCCCCCCAAAAAAAAGATGTTGAATAAATGGAAAGAAAAGCAAACAGATATAGTATCACATTTGCTCTATGATAGGCTTATCAGAGATCATTTAATAATAGAATGAGCCATTTTTTTTTCAAAAGTATTTTAGAAAGCTAGAATATTTAAGGAGTCCTGTGTACGTCAATGATTGTGGGTTGACAAATGTGAATAATGCCTTCAGTGCAAGATAGTTACATGAGACGGGTAAACTATAGATGAAGACAAAAAGATTTTGAAAAGAATAATTTCAGGCCTTAAAAGCGACTAAGTAATGTGCATATGTGTGGCACAGTACAGTTCAGCAAGAGCAATGCTGAAAAATCTGTCATCTGTGTAACACTGTGGGTTATTTACTAGAAGCCTAAGATGCTTCCAGAAATCCGTGGGGGTTATTTGTGGTTGTTTTTGTTATTTTATTGAATGTTCTGTTGTGTTTGCGGTACTGGGGATCAAACCCAGGTCTTCACACGGGCAAAGCATGCTGTACCGACCCTTGAAATTTTAAAAATCCCAGCTCTCTGGACTGTGTGCTTTGCCTTGACCACAGAAAGCAGCTTCAGGAGGTGGGCCACCACCCCAGTCCCCTTGCATTGGTAGGCGGCAACGACCTGATTCTAGTCCTCAGTGATGACGCTTTGTCACATTAGAAATTCAAGGGCATTGTGACCTCTGCAAGCAGCAGACATGACACCCATGCAGAGGGTGGGCTCCTCTTCCCCTCCGCCTCATTGGAGGGGGAGGAGAACATCAAAAGTGCTTTTAGGCCCCTAACATCTAAGTTCCCAGTCCTTGTAAATCGTATTTCCTGATATTTGCTGTTTAAATTAAATTATAAAGAAATTTACCCAAAATGACATAGAAATAACAGGTGTTTCATTTGTGAATTCCAATTTCTGGGTGCCGATGAACATAAAAGCTTATTTGTGTGTGTATGTGTGTGTTTTTTAGAAGTCTCAGCACAAACGGAAATCTGTGACATTCAGCAAGACTGGAAGCCTTCATTCCTCAGTAATGAAGAATTCACTCAGCTGATGTTGGAGGTGAAATGCACTTTCAAATTAGCTTAATCTGTTACAGCTTAAACTACTCGTTCCTGCTAAGCCCCTCTACCCCAAGAAGGAAGCTCTTCTTGACCCTGGAAAGAGGTCTTGAGATAGATACTGTCCTGGGTGTCAGCCTGTTATGCTTTATGTTTTGGCTACGGAGTTGGGCAAAATAAGCAAGAATTTCCAAAATGAATGTTAATGTGTCCTATCCCACCGTGCCTGTAGGGCGGGTCCCCTCACCCAGTGCAGGGGGTGGGGTTGGAGGTAGGGAGAGAAGGGAAGGAGAGAGGGAAGATCACAACATCTGGCATCTATCATTGGACTCAGAGGGTCTTTTCTCTAAAATGCAATGATGGTGTGTGTGTTTTTTTTTCCCCTTAGTAGAAACACTTGGCAAATTAAATTCTTCTTTTAATGTGTTATGCTTTTACCTTGAGCTCCTATGACACCAGGGTGGCATGTTTCTATGTCAACCACAGTGTCCCTGCACTTTCCACCCAACCCACGCCCTTTCTGTGCTAAGATGCCCAAGTTCCTTCTTCTGGACTGGGGGCCGGTTCGCCTGCAGGGCTTTTGTGCCAACCTGGCCAAGCTGAGTGTCCCTCTGCACCTATGTGTATTTACGGATGGGTGAAAGTCCATGGGACCCACGAGATCGGACTCTACAAAGCGCCTGGCATCGTGCGTGACTTCCAGCCTCGGGAGGGAGAAGACTGAGACCACACAAATATGGCCACCAGGGCAGAGAAAACCTCCAACGTGGTCTCTCCAGGCCCTTGACCCAGGAGAAGGAGGACAGGCAAGTTCAGCGAAAGGAAGTTCGTCCCTGGCTCTGTGCCCACATGTGGTTCCTGGCAGGGTTTTCGGAAAGTGGCTTCTTGGGATAAATCTTTCTTTATCTCATCTGTGTGCCTATATAAGACTGATAAACTTGAATTTACATAGATTAGCTATGCAGAAAACAGAAAGTACTGGAATAAGAAAATGCCAGAATAAAGATGTCCAAATATTATGAAATATGAAAGCATTAATGAACATTTGCCTAAAACGAAAGATACTTAACTCTACATGGGAACTATATTTAAAGAAAATACAGAACTTTCTACAGAAGCAATGCATTTTAAGTATGTTAAATTTAAAGCAACTTGTGAAATATAATGTTGAATTAATGTATCATTATGCTACTTTACATACATCGATTTCTCTCTTAATTCTTATGGAAAAGTAGTTAAAACATAAGAACCCTCTTGCATCAGCCACTTTTTTAAGAGTCTGTAGCACAAACGTCGTTTTGCTTTTTCCAGTGAGTTTCAAGGTGTCGAAAGAATTTGAGACAACAAGGTTTGTATTAAGTTAAAAATAAATGTGGGGGTCTGCAATGCAGGACTAAGGTTGAAGAGACTGGAATTTCTAGGAAAAGATTTTACATGGGGACAGGTAGTCTTTATGCACTTTATGCACCTGTTCCCAGGACAGACCACAGACTCCCTGGAGTGGATGGAAAGGAAGACACAGGAACGAAGGGGTCTGCGATCCAGCCCGCATAACCAGAGGGCCTCCACCCGTGTAACCAGGGCGGGAGGCTGCAAGCTAGCACTTCTGGTTTATCTCTGCCTGTGTCCACCTTCTACTGCAACCTGCTACTCTGTCTTCCACCTTCCCCTTCCTGGTGTCCTGAGCCCCTGGCCCTGCAGTGGATCCCCTCTTGGGTGACATCCTCATCTCCCACTGGGCAGCTTCTTCACTGAGAGGATCTCTCTCCAGATGCACATCCCTCTGCTCTTTTTGGAGACACGAGGAATCCGGCATCCAGGCTTGATCCCTTTTCCATTTTTTTTTCCCCACTGAGGACAGAACCTAGGAGAGAAACTGCCGTGCCCCCAGGTGCCCTCTGGGTGTGAATCCCTCTTTTCTCCTGCCTTCTTTTCAAAAGGCACACAGCCAGGCTCCGGGAGGACTCTCACAGCGGTGAAGTTTGAAAGATCAAAAATCACCCGGGTTGCAGAGCAGTGCCCTGGTGGAGTGTAAGCTGGGAAGACCGAGGCCCCAAGCTCCTTTGCAAGTTGACTCAAAAGGAGAGAAGGCGCTTGTTGACCAGGGACCTGGAAGTGGGTGGTATTTCCGTGTTCTATTCAGAAGAGCTGAATCTTTCTTCTTCGCCCAGAGGTTGTCCCAGAGAACTCAGGGAATGTTCCATCAGATTTAGGAACTAACAGAAAGACGGGGTTTCCTTTCTCTCTGGTGTGTTTCAGGTATAAAAGTCTGGGCCCTTTTCATCATGTCCCTGTGAGAATCAACTTTATCTGGACAGGTGCACGCCACTGTGCGGTCACTTGCTGTTGAATCGCCTTGGTAGTGGGACTTCCAAAGCTGTGGCAAACATTCTCATTGCAGTGACAGTGACTCATGCTGTTCTTGTAGATTTGATGGGAAATGCCAAGGAGCTGATGAAAGTGATCCCCCGTCCATAAATACCTTCTGCTTTTTAACACCCAAGAGAGATATGGGCTCACTGTGCAGAAACACCATTGTTTGTGCAGCCCCTCCCTTGGCCAGCCTTCTGGTCTGCTTTTTCTGGAAAGGTCGAGCTGTTATTATCAACAATGGCCCTGACTCTTTGAAAAACGTTTCACTTCAGGAGGTCTTCAAAGAGTCAGGGATGGCATGGCGGTTACCAGAGGCTGAGGAGAGTGGCGGGAAGGAGGATGGGGAGGGTGGATTAATGGGTGCACACTTATAGTCGGTTGTGCTATTGCACAGTAGGGTGGTGGTAGGTAATAATAATGTACTGTGTATTTCAAAAAGCTAGAAGAAAGGATTTTGAGTGTTTTCACCATAAAGAAGAAGAAATACAACTGATCAACAAATATATGAAAAAGTGTTCAACATCTCCAACAATTAGAGAAATGCAAGTCAAAACTACACTAAGATTTCATCTCACTCCTGTCAGAATGGCAATCGTCAAGAATACAGGCAACAATAAATGCTGGCGAGGATGTGGAGAGAAAGGTACACTCCTATGTTGCTGCTGGGACTGCAAATTGGTGCAACCACTATGGAAAGCAGTGTGGAGATTCCTCAAAAAATTGGGAATGGAACCACCATTTGACCCAGTTATCCCACTCCTTGGTTTATACCCAACAGACTTACAATCAGCATACTACAGTGACGCAGCCATATCAATGTTTATAGCAGCTCAATTCACAATAGCTAGACTATGGAACCAACTTACGTGTCCCTCAATAGATGAATGGATAAAGAAAATGTGGTATATATACTCAATGGAATATTACTCAGCTTTAAAGAAGAGTAAAATTATGGCATTTTCCAGTCAATGGTTGGAGTTGGAGAATATCATTCCAAGTGAAATAAGTCAACCCCACAAAACCAAAGGCCGAATTTTTTCTCTAATATGCAGATGCTAATTACAATGAGTGTGGGGAAGGGCACTCGGGAAGAATAGCATTACCTTAGATTAGGTAGAGGGAAGTGAAGGAAGGGGAGGGAAGGGGATGTGGGGATAGGACAGATAGTAGAATGAAACAGACATTATTACTATATGTATACATGTGACTACCTGACAATAGGATTCTGCAACATGTACACTCAGAAAAATGAGAAATTCTATCCCATCTATGTATGACATATCAAAGTGCACAAATGCATTCTATTGTCATGTATAACTAATTGAAAAAAATTTTAAAAAAATAAGCCAGGCATGATGGCACATGCCTATAATTCCAGCAGCTTGGGAGGCTGAGGCAGGAGGATCTCAAGTTCAAGGCTAGCCTCAGCAATTTATCAAGGCCCTAAGCAACTTAGCTAGACCCTGTCTCAAAATAAAAAATAAGAAGGGCTGGGGACGTGGCCTAGTGGTTAAGCACCCTTGAGTTCAATATCCTCTACTAAAAAAAAAAAAAACAAGAATTAATAAATGTTCAAGGGGACAGATAGGCTTAACCTGATTTAAACATTACACAGTGTATACTGAAACATCACTTCACATCTCATAAATATGTACAATTTCGTTTCTATGTAAAAATATAAATTAATAAAAACTAATTTAACAAATTTAAAAAGAAAAGAAAAACAATTTAGACAAATAACTGAGGGGAAAGAAATAAAACTTATGGGGAAGTACTTTTTTATTCACGGTGACCCATCAGTCTAATGGGGAGTTTCTCGACCTCAGCATGATTGACATTTTGGATCTGATACTTCTTGGTTGTGGGAGCTGTCCTTTGTCTATAGGATGCTCTGTGACATCCTTGACCTCCCCCGCCACACTGGATACTGGCGTCACCCACTCCTTAATGACAGCCCTGAAATATCTCCAGACATTTCCAGGTGTCCACCCCCAGTTGAGAACCACTGATGGAATCAGAAAAGATGAGATTCCTTGAAGAAGTGTGCTCTCATATATATATATATATATATATATATATATATATATATATATATATATATATATCTTTTTTTTTTGGTCTTAAAGTTTGTCACACACCTGTGTGAAATAACAAGGGAGCCTAGTGTCAGTTGTCAGTTTTCCTGTGAAAGAGCCCCCATTCCCCTTCTGTTGGCTCCTTTCTTGGAGGGAGGGGCCTGTTCTCGCAGGTGCACTCAGACATCCAGTTGCCACCGCAACCCCATTCTGCACCGAATTATATCATCAGAATTTTATCAGTCAACTCTCAGATGAGTTTACGAAAGCATTATAAGCACCCACATTAAAATAAATCTCCACAGAACAGCGAAAGTGTCTGCTGTGTAAGAAAACATTGCCCACGTTAAACCTTTTAGGTCACGAGTACCCAGAAGGGTGTGCCTGGCATTTAATAGACACCTAATAGATACTTTCATGTGAATGCCTGTTTTCCAACATTTAGAAAAGCTCGTGTGTCCAGCTCATTTCACAAACCCCCATCCCTACCCGGCCTTGAGGAGCAATGAGGATGTTCTTTACAAATGGTCCCTTCTATAGCTATTGCTTCTGTGGCCGTGAACATAGACAGAGGTTGACCTTGGCCAACAGGCACACTTTCTATTTGTAGGCCTCTATTTCATCTTAGATCTTGTAGGAAATGTTTACTGGTGAACTCAAAGTGATACTGGGGTTGGCGGGACAGGGACCATACGCATTCCCGATGTCTTCCTATGGTAATGATGATATTTCTGACTCACCTCAATGAATCATGTGAATGATCGTGTGCCTGTCATTAAACTACTTCAGCAGTTTCCATGGCTAAATTTAGTTTTATGACACCAATGGGTCAACTTCTTCACTGAGTCTGAAACGCTTTTAGAAGTGCATTCCGTGGGCTAAGCAAACTCTGTGTAATGAACCCTCTGGTGTATAAGGTAGGAAAGTGCTGGGAGGGGATTCCTGGAAATACTGTAAGGACGTCAAAGCAAAGTCAGTGTCATAAAATGGCCCTTTGCTTCAGGGACATGTCCCTCCACTAAAGCATTGCTAAGGAGCTTTCAAATGTGCATTTTCCACAGGCACTAGATGGCTTCATTATCGCAGTGACAACAGATGGCAGCATCATCTATGTTTCTGACAGTATCACGCCTCTCCTTGGGCATTTACCGGTGAGTGTCTGCTTCAGTGGCCTTTGTCTGTGTACCTTGTCACCTTATTCTAGAGAATCATTGAGATCTCAGGTGGGACGTGGTGGGGGTCTAGGGCAATGGGACCTGGGGGTATGAGAAGGAGAGATACTGGAGAGTTAGGGAGCGCCCAGGTGCTGGAGGACCAAGTCAGGCCAAGCTCAAGGTCCCAGGGGCAGACCAAGGGCAGGTGCAGGCTTGCGTCTCCCGGAAGCAGTCATGGCACCAAGATTCCAGTAAGGACACGCTTGCGGGAGAGGACGCTCATCCACGTTCTTATCCCTGGTCAGAAACAGACCAACGTGAGAATCGCAGCAGTCGGCAGAGCTCAGAGCCATCCGGGTGACTGAGAGCTGATGGAGGGATGGGCAACAGATGGCTCAGACTGGAACATGCTTGGGGGCTCGCTGGGGACATGTCCAAGATTGCAAGTACATGGTGACCCTTAATAGTAGTGGGGAGCAGGATGACTCCTGGGGGTTCAAACATGCTGGGCAGATGTCACTGGACCTGAGTCTGGGAAGGCCTTGGTGAGTAGAGAGATGGCCAGGCTTGGGGGTGAGTACAGACAGATGTCCCTCCCACTCTTCCCCTCCCTTCCCCCTCTCTACACAAGCCTTGCTGGTAACCCTGAGGCTCAGGATGAAATGTCCCTCAGATCTCTACCAGGTTACTAGAGGATGCACCCCGAGGGCTCCGCAGAGCCCTGTGGCCCATCTTCCACTCCTGCCACACCATTATTTATTCCTACAGAACCTGACCTTGAATGTCAGCTCACCAGGAGTATCCCACATGACAGACCCGGGTGGAATGTCCTCTCTTCTCGCTCCTCCCAACGAGCCCTGGCCAGACCTCTCCTCGCCCTGAGCATGGGTGGATAGTGGCCAGTTTATGTGACGAGGGGGGACGCAGCTTTCCCTAGGTTCCCACATAGGGATCCTGGGCCAGGAGGAATCCCACAGGGCGTGGTCCCCCCTTCTCCACCACAGCTGCCCAGGGAACAGCGTGGCCCTGCTTTGTGGGCAGCTTCCCTCCCCTTTGGGGTGATGAGCCTGGTTCTGCTGAGGGCCCAGGGTTCCACATCATCCTGGGTCTCACTGGTCCTCAGAAGCCGCTGCCCCAACATCTCTGCCAGTGACACAACGTGCCCTTCAAACCTGCCACGCACACTTTTCCTTTGGTCACTGTGTCACGCCAGAAAGGCATTTTTGACTTCTCTGGGCAGATGCGGTCCGGTTACACCATAATCTAACCCTGTGGGTTTCACTTTGTGTTGTGCCCATTTCCTGAGGTCAGGAGGTGACAGACAGGCCCAGAGGTGCCAGAGGGAGACTCCCTCTCAGCCCCAAAGAGGCTGAGGTGAGGCTACCTCCCCGGTCCAGGAGGAGAGGGATGAGCTGGAAGCCATGAAGGTAGATGTGACCCCCTCCTTTAGTGTGGGTTCCTCTGAGGATAGCCAGGGAGAGAAGGGGAGATGGGCTGCTCTTTGGAGGGATCTTGTGTTTTGCTTTGAATGGCAACAACGGGGACAGAAACAGGCCCTGGCTGGAAACAACCAGCTGTGACCTGCTTACTGACCCAGCAAGGAGAGCCCAGAGCCCTGAGCGCTGTTTGGGTGAACAGGATTTGTACTGCTCTGCTTTATGCTTTTGTGATTATCTGATGACCCAGTTGCTATATATGGCAGAGGGGACTTAGAAAGTAAGATGGGAATTCTTCTGACTTGAAATTATGCGGTCATTTAGGAACACCTTTGTGAATTATTTCCTAACTCTAGAAGGGCCAGAAATGACCCCCCAGCCCTAACTGGTCAATGCCAGACCCACCTGAATGCTCAGTAAGTGTCTTTACATAGAGACCCAGGCCACCTCCCCTCGCCCTGCCCCATGCAGATGAGCCCCGGGATAGGCACCCCCACATCTTGCTTCAGTTTAGGTTCAGCTTTCCTGATCCTGTCTTTACCAGGATTGTCCTTTGCAAGTGGATGGGCAGGGGCTGGGGAGGATGGACACGTCCCAGGTCCTCTCAGCGTGCAGCTGGCTGATCTGGGAGTCAGAGCTCTGTGGGCTCCACCTTCCCAGGGCCTACCCCAGGCCTCCAGCCCGCCCCTGAGGCTGCCTGGTGTCAAGGATTCGGCTGCAACGGAGAAATTCTGCTTTTGACTATCCATAGAGGGTGGAGCATTTCTGAAGCCCCGGGCGGTTGGCTTCCTTCAGGGTTTGCACTTTTGTTGAGATTCCACCTGTCCAGTCATTAGCCACTAACACGATATCTAGGCCATTACTATGTACCAGACACCTTGAAGAGTCACTTCCACGAGCTGATATGTAAAAAGTACTTGGAACAGTGCCCAGCACAGAGTGAGGGCCACTTCATATTCCCTCTCCTTACTCCTCTGTTCAATAACCCCATGAAGTTGGTCATCGCCCCTGTTCATACGAGAGGAAACAGTGGGCGGCCCAGAGAGGTAGAGTAATTTATCCAAGGCTCCACAGCCAATTTGACCTCAGACACTTTAGCTCCAGAGCCTGACGCTCAATCACTACTCAGAACGCTGCAGAGGACAGAATAAAGTTGAAAGTTCCCAAGTTGTACTGGGTGGTTAGGTAGGCAAAGAGTGAGGACCCCACAGGTGGTGGTCAGCCTACATGGAAGAGATGGCCACTGAGGGAAGACATGGCCGGCTGGGACACAGGGTGAGCAGGGGCCAGGAGGCCATCATCCCCAGCGACAGAATCCCTATCAGTGTCACAACAAGCACAGGCTGGCACATAAGGGATCCTGCCCCATGGTCCCCTGTCGGTGATGCAGGAATGAAGAACAACCAGAAAATCTGGGGCAGCGGCCCACACCAGTAATCCCATCTGCTCAGGAGGCTAAGTCAGGAGGGTTGCAAGTTCAAGGCCAACCTGGGCAACCAAGCAAGACCTTGTCTCAAAAAAAAATAATAATAATAATAATAAGAGCAACCAGAACTTTTCACAGAACAACCAAGAAATATCCTAGAACTTTCTTTTTTAGTTTGACAGAGAAAAGAAAGATGTGAAGCAGAAAGTGATGTGTTTAAGTAAATGGCTGAGTGAACAGGAGCCTCCAGGTAAATGTCACCAAGGTTAGGAAATGGAACAGGGCTCTGACCACAGGCGCTCCTGCCCACGACATTTCATCACACCCCACTTCCACCGAGAGACAGCTGTTTTTCTGATTTTTTTTTGTTTTGTTTTTGTTTTTGTGTTTGGTGCTGGGGATTGAACTCCGGAGCACCCGACCACTGAGCCACCTCCCCAGCCTGGTTTTGTATTTTCATTTTATTTAGAAACAGGGTCTCGCTGAGTTGCTCAGGGCCTCACTTTTGCTGAGGCTGGCTTTGAACTCGTGATCCTCCGGCCTCCGCCTCCCGAGCCGCTGGGATTACAGGCATGTACCACTGGGCATGGCTTGTTTTCCTGACTTTTAAAATCATTTGCTTGTTTTTCTTTGTAACTTCATCAATTTTTGAATTGATCATTAAGCTTTAATTGAGTAGAAGTTGAGTATCTATTATCGGAAATGCTCGGAACCAGATTTTGGATTTTTTTTTTTCATTTTTTTGGAATATTAGTACTTACCTCAATATTTGCATAATGAGGAATCTTGGGGATTGGGACCCAAGTCTAAACATAATGCATTTATGTTTTATATACACATTGGACACATAGCCTGAAGGTAATTTAATATGCCATTTTTTTAAATTATTTTTTGTATTTATAGATGGACAGAATGCCTTTATTGTGTTTTTATGTGATGCTAAGGATTAAACCAGTGCCTCACACATTCTAGGCAAGCTCTCTGCCACTGAGCTACATACAGCCCCAGCCCTGATACAGTTTTTAATAATTTTGTGCATAAAGCAAGATTTCATGGCATGGAATTTTCTGCTTGTGGCATGATGTCAGCGCTCAGAAAGTTTCAGAATTTGGATTTTTGGATTAGGGATTTTCAGCCTGTATTGCCTTTAGCTCAAGTGGAATCCTGGGATTCCACTTGTGGTTTCTCCTTGTGCTCACCCTGTTTAGGAGATTCATCCTTCTTCCCCTGTCTGGTGTAGGGGTCCTTGGTTCTGGCTGCAATGAAGTGTGCCATTTTAGGAACGTGCTACGTACAGTTCCTGCATCCGTTCCAGGTTGGCACTCCTGGCCAGTGCTTCTGCGATCTCCCCGTAGTGCTGAGAACAGAGCAGGTGTAGAATTGCTGGCTTTCAGTGTGTTGGCTTGTGGGGGGGGGGGGCAGGTGTTCCTTCACCTTTACTTCACCCAACTGGACTATTTCCATAGTGATTGATTGCATCAGTGTTCCCTCCACCAGCGGGGTGCAGAGTTCCAGGTGATTGCGTCACCAGACTTGGTACTGTCAGACTTTTTAGGTTTTATCAATCTAGTGTGTGAGGCGACTCCTGGAGCTTTCATTAGCTTTAATTAGCTCATTACTAGTGAGACTGCGTCTTTCCCTGTTTCCTGGCCCTGTGGATGTCATCTCCTGTAAAGTGGCTGCTCAGGTACAGCCATGCCTCCCTTCATGACAGGGAGACATTCTGCTGAAGGTGGCATTAGGTGATCTCGTCATTGTGAGAACATCGAGATCAGTGTGCTACACTAATTAATGTCCTGCCCATCAGTAATGGTACACAATTAGATATCACCTCCCACACACCTAGGCAACAGGCTACATTCTGTTGCCCCTGAGCTGCACGGCTGTAGTGGATACTGTAGGCAGTTGAGACACAAGGGTAAGTATTTGTGCACACCAAAGGAGAAAACGTACGGTAAAAGGTACCTCATATTCTTATGGGACAACCATAGCATGTGTGATCTGTCATTTGCTAAAATATCTTTATGCAGCGTGTATTTTGTTTTGGACATTTTCCTCTTGGACTTTTGGACTCTTCTAACAATTTCCAGGCACTCTTTCCGTGACCTGGACATAGTCCTCAATGAAGGACAGTTTTAAGTGCCTCTTATTCACCCTCTCCCAGGGCAAGGGGGATGTTTGAACACACAACACCCAATCCTGGGCGGATGAGACAGCAGGTCAAGTCACACACACTCCGTGGAGGACATCGCACACCACACAGGGCCACATAGGGGCTGCACTTGGGAACAGATGCACTAGCAGGGGCTGGGGGAGGCAGGTTTGTAGTAACAGACAGTGGGTGACCCCGGTTGCCTGGAGGATACGATTGGTTTATTTGAGTGATTCCACAGGCCGACAGGAAACTAGCCTGTTACTTGGAAATGAGCAGGAACGTGCCCAGTCCTCTTGAGAAGGAGGGTATTTGGCCGGGGGACCCTATCCACTGAGGCAGAGTGGGGACGGAAACTTGCAGTTAGGCCCTGCCAATGTCATCAGAGGTCAAGGAGGAGCATAACAGGGAACCTTAATTTTAGGCCTTTTATTGTGGGTACATGTGTTGCAAATATCTTCTCTCACTTTGTGGCTTACCTTTCCCCTCTTTGAGGTATTTTAATGAACATAGCCTTTCTTTATATTTAGCAATATATTTAGTTAATTCAGTGCACCAAGGGCAAAGCTATTCTCATACTGTTTGGCCATCCGTCTTATTCGCATCTCAGTTGAATGTTAGCATCTCGAGCATGCCTCTGACATCTTGGTTCCTTAACCAGGTGAAGGCCCCGAGGAGCCCATTCCTGCTGCTTCCTAAGTCAAGGAGTCCCCAGACCTCTCACACTGTGCCTTCTAACTGAGGCCAACACATATCTTCAGCCAGAACTGTCCCCTGGGGCCCCTCAGGGATGTTACAGGACTGAATGTCCACCCAGCCCACTTGCAAGCCCACTGAACTGGTGCTACTGGTCTAAGGGAGAGAGGTTTCCTTGGTCCTCAGCGGTGTCAGCTCATCCCCAGGCACTCGAGCGAGACTCCCTCGGGGGGACACAGGAGAGGCTCGGGTGCAACTAGGCCTTCCTGGTGAAGCTCAGGGAACTGCCAACTGCTCCTTAAAGCAGCCTAGGAGACCATTAGCAAGTTGGGAGAGAGAAGCTCCTGCCTGATGCAGGTAAATGACAGTCCTGTTAATGACTCAGACGCGAAGATGGCTGCAGATGGCAGGTTCCCTCCCTCGTCTCTGTAATTGCTATTATTTTAATCAATAGAGCTCAGCTCATTCAAGGAACGGTTCAACTGCAGATGTGATGTATTCTCCTATCTGCACTCGGGTTTAGATTTTCAAATTGTCATTGTTCCTGGCAGTACTCAGCACGTGGAAATGGCATAACAATCCTATACTAGCAAATACATACAAGCCACGGGCAATTCTGAGCCCTGTGTACTGACTATAATGCTCACGACCTCCCATTACCCCACCTCCCCCACCTCCATCCATCTTTATTCTGGGCAGACTTGCTGCCCGAGGTGCCCCACAGCATGAGGATGGACAGGCCAGTGACCCCAACCTCACTCTCTGCCACACCCGCCCTGGGAGAGGTGGCTTCAGATGGAGCAGTCCAAGAGAGGAGCACGGAGTGACTTAGTTATCATTTTCATGTGTCTGAAATATCTTTAAGAGGAAAGGTCACTCTCATCCATGAACATTAGTCATCAGCTAAAAAAGAAAACTAGAGGAAAATGGCTTGAACTGCAATCAAGACCATAGAGTCTTTTTCGTAGAGATTAAAAATTGGTGTCTCCGTCTAAGCCACCCTGAGTCCTTCCTTTCTCTCCTCCTGTCCCCCAGTCGGCCACCAAGCTGTGTCCACCGTCCTCACACCCATTAACATGCTGACTCCAGGAGGGGAGGGACTTGGTGGTGTTTCTTCCCAGTGCCCCAAACAGCGTCTGAGCACTTAGGAGTCCTTACCAGTATGACCAGTCTTACCAATCCCGGTTGCAGTATGGTTGAGTGGATGGCCTTGGACTCCCCTGCCCCGTCTGTCCCCATGCACACTGTAACCATCTCCGGCCTGGCTTCCTGGGCCCCCTCCCTTCAGATCACACGTGGGATCTCTTTGAAATACAAGTACAAACCGAGAGCGGTGGCGCACACCTGTAATCCCAGAGACCTGGGAGGCTGAGGCAGGAGGATGGCAAGTTCAAAGCCAGCCTCAGCAACTTAGTGAGGCCCTACTGATACATATCACTAAAAAGAAACAATAAATAAATTTTAAAAAGTATATATATATATATATAGATAGATAGATAGATATAGATATAGATATAGATATAGATATAGATATATAGATATATATATATATTAAAGCAAGTGATTGGCTGGATATTTAATTTAAAAATGTGTACAAAGATGTTTGATGCTGTGGGAGTAGATGAGTTTACTGAGGGAACCTGAGGAAGCCAGAGAGATGTGCCTGCCTCCTCCCTCTCCCCACTTTGAACCCTTGCCTGTCTTTTCCTGTAGGCTAGCCACTAGCTACACGTGGCTAATGAAATTTCAATTACAATTAAATAAAATTAAAGTTTCATTTCTTTTAGTTGGACTAGTCGCCTTCCAAGTGCTCAGGGGACACAGGTGGTCAGCAGGTCCTGTGAGGGGTGGTACAGATGCAGACCCCCGACTCACACAGATGGCTTTATTGGACCGGGCTGTATCTAGACTCTCATATTTAGGTTGGCTCCTAGTACCTAGGCACTCGGGGGGGAAAATGTGAAACTCCTTCAGTTCCAGACCTTTAAGAAATAAACAGGCTGCTTTTTGCTGGCCAAAAGGTCAAGAAAGGAACCCTATGTACTGTTTGGGGCCATTTGAGTGAGTGACGGGGCTCTCCCTGGGGCTCCACGTGGCCTCACCACCCCAGCCAGGACACAGACAAGACAAGATAAGAATTTGACTTTGGAAAGGAGGTTAGAACGAATAAAGAAGGGAGGGCTAATTTTAAGCAGATGGGGCGCCGTGGGCCTGAGGAGGACTCCTCTTTGTGCATCTGTTAGACTTGACATTCAAGTCATCAAGACATTCAGCCCATGGACAGTAGCACATTCGCATTTGAGCAAGTACAGGGCTCCTCCGTATCCGGGGACCTGCACCAAGGAGTCAGGCAACGCTGATTGAAAATATTTGGAAAGAAAATTCTGTCTGCACCGAATGTGTATTTTTTTCTTATCATTATTCCCTGAACAATACAGCTTAGCAACTAGTTACAGAGCATTTACATGGCATTAGGAAGATAAGTCATCTAGAGATGATTTGAAGTCTACAGGAGTATGTGGGCAGGTTCTACATGAATACTAGAACATCTTTCAGAAGGGACTTAAATGTCTATGGATTTGGGGAGCTACAAGGGGTCCTGAAAACAATCCCCAGAGGATACCAAGGGATAACTATGGTTCTTTTATTTTTTTTTCTTTTAATTTTTTTAAGTTTTCAAAAAAGATTATGGTACTGTGCATCAAACCCAGGGCCTTGGACATGCTAGGCAGGTGCTCTAGCTCTGAGCGCTTCCCCCAGACCCTATAAAACCTTTTCGGTCACAATTTAGGATTACAGAGTGATGCATGGGGAGTGTTCACAGAAAATCAGATCTTGGGCCAGGTGCTGTGGCACACACCTGTAACTCCAGTGGCTCAGGAGGCTGAGGGAGAAGGATCACAAGTTTGAGGCCAGCCTCAGCATTTTAGTGAAGGCCTAAGCAACTCAGTGAAACCCTGTCCAAAATTAAAAAACATAAAGGGCTGGGGGGTGTGGCTCTGTGGGTAAGCACCCCTGGGTTCAATCCCCAGTAACAAAAAAATAAAAATCAATAAGACCTTGAACTTCCCCTTTCAGAATCTGATCCTGAGGAGTCAAGCACAGTTTTAGCCCCCGATTTTGCCTCTTACTACCCTGGAGTGTGCACCTCTGTTCTTTATTTTCTTTTGCAGTCGGATGTCATGGATCAGAATTTGTTAAATTTCCTTCCAGAACAAGAACATTCCGAAGTTTATAAAATGCTTTCTTCCCATATGCTTGTGACGGAATCCCCCTCCCCAGAATTCCTAAAATGTAAGTTTCAATTCACTGTTTTTTGGTTTTTTTTAACCAGGTCTGAAGATAAGAATTTGACTTTGGAAAGGAGGTTAGAACGAATTAAGAAGGGAGGGCTAATTTTAAGAATAATTTTCCTCATGACTCAGAACGTTTTCCAGATCCTTTGAGGTATATTTTTAAGTTTAAAGCTAAAACCGGAGTCGGAAATCTGTAAGACATTTAGCTTTTATGTGGAAAATTTGAAGGCACAGACCTTAAGAATAACAACTTGTTTTGCATGTATGACGAGATTTTTTTTTTTTACATGAGAGTCTTTCGGTAATAAACAGTGCAAAAAAAAATCTGCGAATAATCATCTTATTTAGGGAAACACTAAAATGCTAAATTTGTATACTTCCAAATAACCAACTGGTAATTGACGAGTTAGGTCAAAAACTGAAAGTCTGCCTTCCCCAGGCTGTCATCTGGTTATTTATACCCATTTGCATTTTGATGGAATTTTAAAGTTTTTAACCAAAACACTTGGCAACGTGGCTAGAAGCCCGGCCTTGGTGCCCGGGAACCTCATGTCACTTAATGAAGCATGTGAAATATACACAGTAGCGAAGATGCTCGCATTTGTTCGAGCCTCAGTCCATTTTCCATGAATAATTTGTCCTGTCGTACATCTGATTTGACTTCAAAGCAAAGCAAAAAAAAGATTAAATTAAAGAGAGCGGCTCTAGATGAACAGCTTGATTTTAATATACCGTCTGAAAACAACCGGAACTAATCAATGCCGACACAACCGACCACAGACATTTGCAAGCAAATTAAGACTAATTGGGCCCAAGTAGAGAAGGAGAAGTATCTCTGAACAATGGTAAGAGAACCCTGTACCGCCAAGGTTAGAAAGCCACCTTCTGGAGTTAGTCACGAGGACAGAAATGGGCTGGCCCTGCGTGGACCAAGTCCCCTAAGAGTTTTGACAAACACGCCACTTGTTTAGTCTAGAATCTGTGTAATGTGCCTCTTCCTTTCTCTTTTCTTCCCTGAACGGCCCAGCTGACAACGATTTAGAGTTTTATTGCCATCTTCTCAGAGGCAGCTTGGACCCAAAGGAATTTCCAACTTATGAATACATAAAATTTGTAGGAAATTTTCGATCTTACAACAATGGTAAGCTTTAATTGTCCCCATAATTGCCCACAGTGTCTTTTATCATGCAAACGTGCACATGAGCCACCGCCTAAGAATCCTAAGAATCACTGGGGGAGGGAAAGGGGGAAAATGTGTGCTTTTTTTTTTTTTTTCAAATTTGCATTTCGATTTTTCTGTTCCCAAGATGCATTTTTCTGTGGCTCATCAGCACTCTCTCCCTTTCCAGAACACACTCCCACACCTGTTTGTGCCGGTGCGCAATGTCCCCTTCGATGGCGTGCAATTCGCTTCTTTATTTTTTCAAGCTGATGAAATAATTCTGCCCTGTGAGAAACAACTTACAGTTAATAAAGAGCAGACTACAGAATCCCCAGAATAGGACTTCACTGTGACATGGCGATCAGGATCCTTGCTTTCTACATTCCTGTCTTCTCTTTAAGCCCTGCCGAGCTCATGCTTTAATAGATCTGGTCCACGGGTCTTGTACTCGCTGTGGCCCAAATGCACAGTAAAGGGGCTATTTGACCATGAGCCAGCAATCTACACTGGGTCAATTATCAAGGAGGAGAAGCCATCACTGAAGTCGTATTTTCTGAAACTCCTAGAATAAGGAACTGTCCAAACTCTGGCTGCAGAGATGTGAACCCGGAACTAGACTTAACGCTCATTTTTACTTTTGACACATGCAACGTGGAAATACAGGCCGAGGCCAGTCATTCAGCAACCCAGTCTCATTATGGACAGAGCATAGAAAGGCCTGCATCTTGTTTGCTGTGCTCCTCAAAACGCAGCACAAAACAGAGAACTTTGAGAGCGCTGATATCACATTCATCAGCAAAGACGGGAGAAAGTGTTGACAGGGAAGGAGGGAAAGAGAGACGTGCAGAAGGAAAAAAAATACCAAAGGAAAACAAAGACAGAATGATGAGCTGCAGAACAGAGAGGGAGGGCAGCCAGGGATCCAGGGCGGAGAGGAGGACAGCACTGACTGCTGCTGGTTTGATTACTGTTGTCTGACTCGGAACCCACGTAGGTCTGTTACTCCAGCCAAATCAGTCCCAGATCCCGTTAGCGCCAACCAGGGTGATAGTACTGAGTCCTAACTAACGCTGGGGCTAACCAGGAAATTCTCTTCCTCCAACTTCAAATGATTCTTTGTTGCGTATTATTTGCGTGAATACGTATGTTTTATAAAAAGTCTTCAGCTAGATGCTGAACATTGTGATCCTGCTAGAGGGATGTTCAGGCACAGTGTCCAGGGTTTTGCCTGGACAGTGGGCTCCCTGGCTGACTTGGAGGACCTCCTGGGAACCTTCCTATCCAAGGCTTCAGGGTCTCAAGTGGTTGGAGTGACGGTTGGTGTTTGCTTTCCAAAGGGGGCCCCTAAACCTGAGCAAAGCCAAGGCCTGACCATGTCTAATCTGATTCATCTGCAAGGTCTGCCCAAACTTCATGCAATGAGTGTTTTTAAAAGCCACACAAAGAAGTCAATGGTGTCTTGCTGGGTGGTTTTCTGGGCTGCCCAATTAAAGAATCCAGCTTAAGAGACACCATAGAGAAAACCCAGCATCCGCCCGGCCAGTGCAGTGGGTCTTTGGATAAGATAACTAGTTAACATGCAGATTCTCAGCCATTACCTTAAAGCAGATCTGAGACCCAGGAATGGGGAACTGAAAGGACTGGGGACTTGGGCTCCAGGATTCGTGACATGCACTTGGACTAGTGTGACACCAAGTGCCATTCCCTGGAGAGTTCAATGGCAAGGCTTTCAGACAACTTTATTGTGGAGTTAATGTTAGTGGTGGTTTGGAATTGAATTCAAATGTGCAGGCTGGTTCCTCAAAACATTAAACATACAAACATTGAACATAACATTAAACACAGAACAACCACATGACCCAGCAATTCCACATCTGGGTGTATACCCCAAAGAAGCGACAGTAGGGACTTGAAGAGATATTGGTGCACCTACGTTCATGTATGTCTGTATGCAATAGCCAGAAGGTAGAAGTAGCCCAGTGTCCATCAGTGGATGGATGGATAAAGAAATTGTGGTATATCCTTACAATGGAATATTGTTCAGCCTTAAAAATGAAGGAAGTTCTGACTCGTGCCACAAACGTGAATTAACCTTGATATTAAGAGAAGTGCACCAATCACATGCGTACACTTAAAAACAGGATGGTGGTCAGGAGTGCAGACTTACCATGCATCAGTCCCCAGCACCAAAAATAATAATAATAATAATAATAATAATTGTATGTTATGTGCATTTTGCCACAATTTTCCTTTAAAAACTGCACGTACTCTAGCCAGAATAGCAGCACATCCTAAGCAACCAGATGCACAGAGGGGAAAGACACCACACCTCTCAGAGTGCTGAACCTGGGAATTATGGGATGCTATTCCCACGTGTCCCCATGACAACTGTGCACACACCTGATTATTTAAAGAACCAATCAGTGATTGGCTGGTGAGGAGCAGTTGTATCCTTTATGAATTTACATTTCTACACCTCTTATGAAGACACTGCCAGCTATCACATTGACGCACCCTGTCATTTATCACCTCTTAGAGGATTTCAAGGAAATAGCTGCATTCTGAATACCTGGGCTTTTTTTTAAACTAGCAAGGCTTTATTTTCACTTCAAGTTGAGACAGTGTTTGTTTGCCTGGAAGAACGTGTAGAAATGATGTGCGACTTTTTTTTTTTTTCTTACTGTTACTGCTATGGCAGGGACAGCATTGAAAGTAGAAAATTCAAAACCAAGAATGCAGTGTCCCTCCGGAGCCTGTTGTGCAAACCAGAGTTAAGACGGGCTTTGTGCAGACGAGAGTGTCCAAGTATAAATTGGGAGCTCTCAGACCCTCAGGAAAAGGGCCCGAAGTGGACCAGGGAACGCTGGTTGCGGTTCAGAGAGATCAGCTGTGGTGTGCTGCTGCACAGGAGGGTGGCCATTTGTTCAAAACACTAGGAGAAAGGATGGAGAATGTTCTCACCTCTAGGAAATGATACGTGTCTGCGATACAGATACAGATGTTCCCTGACTTGAGCCCTGGACACCCTGTACATGGGTGGAACGTGACTTGGCTTCTCATTAATGCGTACAATTCTGTGTCCAGAATTGTAATACAATTAAAATACAGATAAAGAATAAAACAGTGTGCAGGCCCCAGAGCAGGGAAGAGAGGGCCAGACTGAGTCGGCAAGGGCTTTTGTGACCCTCAGATCTGTGGAGAAGAGGCTCCCCTCTGTTGGCTCCCTCAACGTCTCCTCCTGCAGGCCTGGGCTTGGGACCCAGTGGCCATGAGCTGTCAGTAGGTGCTGGGGGAGGGAGGGGCAAAAGCCCCTCTGCCCTTGCTAATGAGCTCACACTCTCCAGTTGGAAGTTTCCAGACTCACGGGCGGTGGGGAGGCTGGTGCCCATTCGACCCTGCCCACCCCCAGCTGCCTTTGGCACGGCAACCGTGGCCCAGATGCTTGAGCAAGATGGAGTTTTCCCCTTCTCTGCTATTTGCCCACAGCAGTCACCCCTCAGGACTCGGCCATTTGCCCCCAGTGTCCAGGGGGAAGAGAGGGAGGACCGACCTCACTTCTTTCATCTAAATGGCTAACAGGTGGGAAGAAATACGCACCAGGAAATGGAAAAGGAAGTCATCTTCCTCAGACGTGTTCACCTGAGCTCAGGGATGGGATGAGTGACCCCGTGTTCTGTCTTCTCCTGGCCAAAGGCTGATGCTGACCCTGGGTGACGAGTGGCAGATGGGTGGGCCGCAGGTCCCAGCAGCCTTTGAAACAAGAAGTCTTTCCTTGGATTATGTTTGTTCTGTAATAGATTTTTTTTCTTTTTCTTTTTTTTTTTGAGGGGGGGATAGAGAGGGAAATGCTTTTGGACAAATACACCATCGTATCTTTTTACTTTCCTAATTAAATATGGAGCCCGCTGGGCCTTCCGCAACGCCACACGCCCAGCGCCACGTCCCTGCCCTGTTGCTCTGAATGGGAAGGAACCAGCGGGTGATCTTCAAAGACAGTCTTTGCTTTACGGGGTCCCAAGAAGCAGGTTCCAGTTCCTGAAAGATGACTTCACGCCAGGAGGGAGGCCAGCCTTTCTCTGCACCCTGGCTCCTCCCCCGGACTTGGATTTAAATGTGCGTCTGACTGAAATCCAGAACGCAGTGTTTCAGAAGTCGCTGGCGTGGTTCCAAATAGGTCACCCTCAGCAAACATTCCACTCTGGGCTTTCCAGAAACCGCACACCAGAGGATAAAAGTTTCCCTGCCCTCATTTCACCTACTCGCCTCTAACCACACCGCCAGATTGGAAAGATGGCGTAAGTGGGGACATTTCGGCTGAGAACACACGGATCCATGTGTTCCCTGAAGTTTCCGGAGACTGCCTCACCTTATGGCTTGGAGAGGGTTGTTTTTGCGTTTTGTTTTTCCCCCTGAACTGAACTAATGGAGACGTCTCAGCTAAGGGATGGAGGGGCATGCACACCAGGTCTCCCTGGGAATGGAGACAGGAGCTTGGACAGCTTCAGAGATGGAGTGTGGACCTGTCCATCACGGGTGCCTCAGAGAAGGAAGCAGAGTGTTCCCTCCACCCAGCAAAGCAGCCTCGTGTCCTTCCCCAGCAGTGGTCATTGCTGCCACATTCAGCATCCCAGGAGACGAGATCCTGATAGAGAACAAATTGTCACCCAAGAGCATCATCCCGCGGGGACATAGAAGGTCCATGTTAAAAATGGAGCAACGGGGAATGGCCGCACGTTTATCCACCACATCTTTCTGCTTGCCTTAGTCCGTGAGTGCAAGTCGTCTCATCATGTGACAAAGATGTGACAAGCTATCCATTTGGACAACAGGAATGAGGGCCTGTTAGGAAGCCCACTTTCCCGGCCACACAAATAACATGACCCTGTCCACACCAACCATCTAGTGGGTATCTTAGAAATGACATTCTAAATCTCAGGCCCCTAAAAATACTCATTTTAGTTCATGAACACCAGGGAAAAGAGGAATTAGTGAAGACATACAGTCTCCCTTTAAATTTTTTTTTAACCCCGCAAATTGGAGACGTACAGCTTCTAGGTATGGATCTCATCTTCTCCCACATTCCTCTTGCTCTCAACAGAACGGGCAGAAAGGAAAGTCGAGCTGAGCATTACCCGGCAAGGAAGGCAGTGCCCAGGACAAGAAGTGGGCAGGGCGACTCTGCTGCTGCCCCCGTGAGGACCCCCCATACCTGGCTCTTCAGAGGACATTGAGCAAAACACCTGCAGAGAGAAAATGAAGAGTCTGAAATTAGCACTTCGTTAGTGGGAGATGATTTCTTCTGAATGTGCAGAGAGTGATTTTCCTTCCAAAAGTCCAAAACAGTAGTCCAAAATGTGTTTAGCACAGTTTGGGATTTAGGAACTTTTTTTTTCTTCCTTGAGCAAAATCCATTGATTATTGGCAAGTCTTCCCAGGGACCGATCAGTTTTGTTTGATATTGGTTCCCAGAAGTGCTGAGGAAGCTCTCTGTGCCTTCCCCTGTGAACTACTGTGTTTTCCTCTAGCCACTGCAACTATTTTATTCTAAGCAGGCCATCCCTGGTGAGAATACCAGATCGTTCTGAGGACTGACCCATAACTCGGTGGAACTGGGGACAACCGTCCTTGTCCATTTCTTTCTATTCCTTTGCTGTTAACTAATGTTCACGATCATCATCTCTGCTTCCTCCTCACTCTTTCCTAAATTCTTTTGAAAAAAAAAAAAAGATATCTCAATACCTACAATCTCCCTGCCTCTGCAGATATCAGGACGAACTTGGGAGCTCACCTTTGTCAGGGGACAGACTTGGAACCCAACCTAGGGTGCATCCAAACGAAACAGACATTAGTCATTCTGAGTCTCTGGAGAACCTGGGAGTCTTATTTTTGGACTCTCAAGGGCATCAACCTAAGGCAAAACTCTTCCAGGGTGTCTGAAATTGGAGACTGTCATGAATGGTTCCAGACTTGCTAATCTGTGGATCATTTTAACATGAAGACCTCAAATCAGCACATGGGGGTCCCTCCCAGCAGGAACACAGGAGGCACTTGGGGATTTTCCACCAGAGTGGTGATTACTGTGTGGGATTCCCAGCAGCTGTCCTGTCCAGGCCCCCTTCTGACCAGTGTCTGTGCCTCAAAAGGGCAGTGAGCTAGCCTGAGGGCCAGGGGAGCCCAGAAACAGTGCTCTGCAGGCACCTTCCGCAGCCCCAGCTCATGCTATGGGAGGAGCCATCTTTTGGATCCCAAGGTCCATGCACGAAGTACTGGCAAGGATCCAAAGGTTTCTTCCTCAGCTGAATGCAAGATGGAAAGTGCCTCTTGTGAAAGTCTCACCCAATAAGCACACATTGAGCACCCGCTGTATGCAAGACACCTGCTCAGACTGGAGAAGAGAGCAAGATCAGCTCTACCTTGGGGGAAGCTATCTATTTAGCTTTCGGGGCAAAAGTAAGATCAATTTGAGTAAGAAGACTCTAGAGGGAAGAAAACAGCAAGAAAGAATCACTTTTCTATCATGAGTGGTCAGAGATCTGAGAAAGCAGGGCTGCACCTATATTTAGTGGTTGATCCTTCGGAGAGGCTTGGGAAAAGCCAGTTGTAATTAGAGATAGTTTTTCTATTACTTAAATTGAACAACTAATTGAATTCTTAATTAATGGCTTTAAACCACCTTGGGATAGAAAGTGCCCGAGAGTTATCCTGAGTGCTAAATATGACTGTGAAGTCCCAGGGAGCAGCGGGCTCCTCTGTTGACTCTGGAACCTAAAGGAGGGCTCATGCTGGGAGTAAAACGTCATTTTAAACTCAACTGGTGACACGTTTAGAGTAGCTTCCTCTCCTTGGTTTCCCCCCAAGGTTTTTCCCTTGGCCTCTGTTAGAACATTCATCTTTGATTTAATATCACCCTGAATCAAGCCCTGGGACATTTACGATCCGGGGTGGGGAAAACACTTGTTTGGGAAAAATAATAAAGTTGCCCAGTTCTGGTCCCATCTGTAAAATATCTAGATGATCAAGCACAGGCCACAAGCAATAACGAAACTTCCCTTTTAGGAGTGCATTTTTATCTTGAAAGCCTTTGAAGTCATGAAAGAGCAGATAAACCACATGAGCGGCAGCCGAGTCAACTGTAGCTCTGCACAATGTCCACTGCATGACCGTGACCTGAGTCTGGGCCCCGCTGAAGATGGAACAGGATGCAGCAGGTCTTGGGCCCACGTTTCTGTTCCAAGATCTTTTTCTGTCCTTGTCTCGTCTTCAAAGCAAATCCAAAGGAAAACCCTTACTGACAGAGCCCTTGGATAATAGACCAAAGATGGGCCCATCAAGATGCAGCATGGAGCCACAGATGAAGGAGGCATCATCCTCTTAAATTCCTGGGAAGTCCTCGGAAGCTTGCTTGGAAGGTCTTGATATTCTGAAAGAGTCAGGAGAATTTTATGAGGTCATTATCTGGCTGGGTGATGTCTCTTAGATCCAAGCGGAGAGTATTTCACATCTGGGAAAATTTTTAGATGTCTCTCTTTCATTACACAGATGTTCACATCTGCGAACCCTTCCTTTATGTGGAATTGTTTCCATTCCCCTGGATAAATTTCTTGGCTTGCCCTACAAATGAATCTGCACCAGCCTAAGCCAACTAGTGACAGATGTAAACTCACGAGAGGCCACTATTTTTTTATTTTTCCCACTTTATATTCCTGTTTGGAAACATTTATTAGTATTGATGTGAATGAACTCAGAGACTATATCTAGATAAAATGAATTTATTCGTGTTAGCAGTAGGAAGGCCATGTGATATGGGATAAAATCATTTCGAGACATATGTATATATAAAATAGAAAAAATGGGAGAGCTAAATCTCAAAGAAAATTTTGTAGATTTCATTTTATAATGCATTTTTTCTGATATTCTATCTGTTCTTAATTAAGTTGGCAAGCATAATGAGGTTTAAATTTGCAAGTTTAGAACATACAGGTTGTAGAGTCGTCCCTCAGAATCTATGGAGCATTAATTCCAAGACCTCCCCAAAGATACTCAATCCAAGGATGACCAAGTCCCTTGTAGAAAATGACCTAGTGTTTGCATACCACCTTTATACATATCCACTTTATACTGAAAGTCACCTGTATAAATACTTGTATGCTCTATTGTTAAGGAAATGACAAGAAGGAAATCTATACATCAGCAATACACACACAACTCTTTTTTTTTTTCAAATATTTTCCATCTACAGATGGTTGAATCGGCAGATCTGGAACCCTTGGTTATGGAGGGCTAACTGTAACCCATCACATTTTAAGAAGTAAAGAGAGTGCAGGCTCTTGGCTCTTGGGATCCTCAATCCTGTCTGCAGAAACATGTGGAACTTTTGAGTGTATCCATACCTGGGCTTCACCCCCAGAGTTTCTGAATGAGCTGGTTTGAGAGGGGCTAAAGTTACCAGGGGAACCAGGTGCACAGTGAATCTGAGAATTCCCCGGGTGTACCAAGTCGGCCTTTCTCATATTTAACAAGGATCTTGTCCCCAACCAGCCAACTCCACCTAAAGACAGAAGAATCTTTCTGGCCCAAAGACCCATCAGTTTTCCACAATCCCCCTGAGAGTGGGGGTTGGAGGATCCCAGGGACGCTAAGTGGTGTCTCCCAGAAGACCCTGGGCACGCAGTTGTGGACATGAGCCTAGAAGCATCCCCTGTCTTTCCTGGGAGACCCCAGACTTGGAGTCTGGAGATGTGGGTAGTATCCCTGCTTCATTCTTTCCACTGTGGGAATGACCTTCATTAATTAATAGATCCTTTCTGGGCCTCAATTTCTAAAATGAGGGCTGTAATACTTTTCCAGACTTGCGAGAATAAATCACAAGACACATGGGAACAGATTTTGTTGCCTGCGCAATGCTACAGAATTAGCAAGTTTGTCGTGGGCACTATGTGTGTACGTCTGGGATGACCCTATGTATTAGCCAGGTTTCCATTACTATAACAAAATACCTGAAATAAGCAATTCAAAAAGATAAGCCAAGTATGAGTTTGAGGGCAGAAGCTCTTGAATGGCCAGTGCCAGGGTGTCTGTGCATCCAAGACACCACTAATCTCCCCAGGACCATCCATATCAGGAGCATCCTCTGACTAAGAGCTCACCCTTCCCACAGCAGCCAGGGGGAGCATCCAGACCCTTGCTGCAGAATGAAGCTGTTCCTCGTGTTGCCGAAGGTCTTTCCCAACACAAAAAGTGCAGGGTTATGGGGCAGCGGGTGAGCAGGGCGCAGTGGTTACCAGCAGGACTCACTCCCAGCTGCTTCTAGTAAGCTGTTTGGCTTTGAGCAAGTGCCTCGGTTTCCTCATCTGTGCCATGGGGATAACAGGAGTACCTACCTCATTAGGATTTTGTGTGGATGAAATGCGTGAAGCCACACACACACAGCCCCAGGAAGCGACTCTAAGTTTATGGTAAGTGCCAGGTGGGATTTGACAGCTGTCACCAGACAAGGCTAACTGTGTGTCCCCGTTCCCCACCCCCTGCACAGTGCCTAGCCCCTCCTGTAACGGCTTTGACAACGCCCTGTCAAGACCTTGCCGCATGTCACTAGGGAAGGAGGTCTGCTTCATCGCCACTGTCCGCCTGGCAACACCGCAGTTCTTAAAGGCAAGTCCCCCGCAGAGAGGTCACTGTGTGGAAATCGTTTCCATTGAGTCGCGTCTGGTTATATCTCATTCGTTATCTTTATGGGAGAGAATCAAATTGCCCTGGAGTCACCACATTCTAAATTTGTAGATGCTGCTTTGAAACATCTACCAGTTTAGAATGTCTAGCCTCCGCCCCTGCCACCCTAGCCCTGTCCCAGGCCCTCCCTGGGGTTCCTGCTAGGTATTTTGTTTGAAGGCAGTGTCACTTGCCATTCAGCCCACAAAGATGCTGCCCGATGGCCCCTCCCACCTCCCCATCTTCCTGGTCACCATGAACACCGCCCAGGGCAGGCAGGGGAGAGAGTGGAGAGTCACAAAATCGAGGGCTTTTTCTGTATTCTCTCATCAAAGATTGGCAGCACTCTCTGGAACGAATGTTGAGCTAAATCAGTAACTCAAATTCAGATGCAAAGCCATTTCCCACATGTTTACCACACTTCCAGATAATAGGAAGGGAGTGGTGTGACATTTTGGCTCCTAGGTATTTTTCCCCAGCTTGTGAAATAAATTTAGTATCAGCTAATACCGAAATTAGCTACAGATGACGAGTCTCAGTCCAACCCGACTTGGAGGCTGGCTTGTGAGGATCTGAACTTCTGTTACCCATCATGCATTTCTTTGCAGCAAACCTAGGGTGAGCATCTGGCACCCCAGCAACATTCTTTTCTTTTCTTCCCCCCACCCCTCTTCCAATACAGGAAATGTGCATAGTTGATGAACCTTTGGAGGAATTCACTTCAAGGCATAGCTTGGAATGGAAATTTTTATTTCTGGATCACAGGTTTGTGAAGAGGGAAACGTATTTGGATTGGGTCTTTTTCAAGTGGTGTTCACATGAGCCAGGTTCTCCTTGGGAGACAGAAGTCCAGCCTGATCCTTTGAAGAAAGACTCGCTGGCTACAGGAAACGTGGTTCCCAGCCAAGGGAAAGGCTTCCCCTTCTGTACCTGCTTCCCCTTCACGCAGAGGTTGAAGCCTCAACCCTGGGTCATCTGTGGGATGACCCCCTTCCTGCTTCCAGAAAGACAAGCAGATGTGCAATGAACCCTCTCCTCTGATCACTTCCAACACCCCTTTGATCCTTGAGTCCAATTTTTCTTCTTTCCTTTGTAACGTCATTCACCGTTTCAGAACAAGAAATCTCGCTTCCCTGCCCTTTCGTTTTTCGTTATACAATGGAGCTGGCCCCATCTATAGCTGTTTTTAATTAGTCAATAGCTGATGCATTTAATGATTATTTGGGCCAGAGGATGCCAAGGAAATGGAGTGTCTAAATACCGAAATAACTTTGCAAAACTGGTGCTGACCAGTGCAATGCTATTTTCTTCCCCTGGTTCTTGAGAAACGAGGCCCCTGTGGATATTAAATGTGCAAACCGTACCCTGCGTGTTGAATGGCTGGTGTTGACTGGCATGGTCCGTGTGGTGTCCTTCTGATGGGGAATTCCCTGTGCCCTCCTGCAGAGCCCCTCCCATCATAGGATACCTGCCCTTTGAAGTGCTGGGCACCTCAGGCTATGACTACTACCACATCGACGACCTGGAGCTCCTGGCCAGGTGCCACCAACACTGTGAGTACCCTCACCCAGACTGACCACAGGAGCGTCATTCTTGATCCATGGTGACCGGACAGCAGGGCTCTGTAGTCTGCTTGTCACCCAGCTCCCTGGAAGCCAGGGACTTGGTTTCCTCTGCAGTGATCTAGGGGTATGGAGGAAGTCGTTGTCGACATTGATGTCGTGTTTCAACTCGGAATTGACTTTGCCCCAATCCCCAGCACTTCCCAGCACCATTCAGATAGGCATGCTCCTTCATCCAGATCGTGAAATTAAGGCAATGGCAGAATTTATTTGTAAGTTAGCATTAAGTGTCAGAGACGTAACACTGAATCCACCTAGATGGATTAGTCTTTAGTCGGCAGTTGGTGGTATTGGTCTCCAACTCCAGGCAATGCTGACCTGTCCTCTTCAGATATCACCCTAAGTCAGCGTCTCCTGGGGTGACTTGAGTTTTCTAGGTAAGAGCTGTCTTAACCGTTTGCATTAAGAGATACTAATGCACATTTCAGCATCTTCTGCAGGGTGAAGTCTGCTGGAAAGCCAGGAATGGGCGACACTGTAGATTGTGAATGTTGCATAGCAGGGGATATGCACAGGGCACTGGAGGCTCAGGGGGACCCCCCCTGCAGCTGGAGGAGGTCCAGGGATGGCTCTCTGCCTTGGAAGAGGGGAATACGCTGGCACATACATGTGGGGTAGGGCTCCTGATGTGGGAGAGCTAGACTCACAAGATTGATCAGTTCTCACTTCAAAAGAGGAATCAAGAATTAAGTACTCGAGGGCTGGGGTTGTAGCTCAGCGGTAGAGCGCTCACCTAGCACGTGCGAGGCCCTGGGTTCGATCCTCAGCACCACAAAAAAATAAATAAATAAAATAAAGGTATTGTGTCCAACTACAACTGAAAAATAAATATTAAAAAAGAAAAGAGAATTAAACACTCAAGCCAGGTGTGGTGGTATACACCTATAATCCCAGTAACTAAGGTGGATAATGCAGGAGGATTTCAAGCTCGAAACCAGCCTCAGCCACTTTTTAAGAAGAGAAATGGTGGGGAGAAGGAATTATTATTTAAGGCTCATTTTTAATTTTTTTTTTTTGGAACTGGGGATTGAACTCAGGGGCACTCGACCACTGAGCCACATCCCCAGCCCTTATTTTGTATTTTATTTAGAGACAGGGTCTCACTGAGTTGCTTAGCTCCTCGCCAAGGCTGAGGTTGGCTTTGAACTCGCCATCCTCCTGTTTCAGCCTCCTGAGCCGTTGGGATTACAAGCACGCACCACTGTGCCCAGCTTTTCATCTTTAAAAATTTAACCCCCCGCTCCTCAAAGTGTGGTCCCAGGACGAGCTACATGGCTAATGTGTGCTAGACATGTAGTGTCTCAGCCTCCTGCCACCCGGCCTGAAGAGTCACAATATCCACTTTCACAAGATCCCCAGATAATTTGTGCAAACATTCAAATTTGAGAAGCAGAGCTGCTTTAAACCTCTGACTGCTTCTGGCTCTTCTAACGGAGAAAAAGCCAAGGGAAGAGTTACCTACCTGGCCTGAGCAAGAGGTTCCTTCTCTGTGGAGCCCATGGCCCCCCCTGCTGGCTTCTCTCATATTCACCAAGTCAGTGGCTTCGTCTGTAGCTTTAGTTTCCTAGGTAAGATTCTTCTTAACTGTTTGTATTAAGAGATGCTAAATTCCAGGCCCTGTGGCAATAAAACTGAAATTGTTCTTCTTCCTCTGGTCCACATCCCTTTCTTCTACCTGGCACAGATGATAAACCACCAGCATCCATTGTGTTCTGGACACTCCCAAAGGGACCTCCTACAAACATGACCATAAGGGGCTCCAGGCATCTCTGTGGCTGCAGGGGACGGCCTGGGGTGGAGACACCCATACCAGACCCTCTTTATTCTAGAACTCTGTAGACTCAGTCTGAATTGCTGTCTGGCAGCCACAGAATCCATCCAGCAGTTGCTGGCCGTCAGGTCTAGTTTGGGTCCAGGGCTCTCAGGGTCTGGATGCTCCCTCCTCTGCTCGGCTCCAAAACCAGCTCCACCTGCAACGGGAAGATGAGCCCCAAGAAAACCAGGGCCTCCTTTTAATTAAACTTCCAGTTTAACAATCTGTCCACCTCTGCCCTTATTTGAAAATCTCTCTCAAGCTTTTGAGCATGTGGAAAAAGTACACGGATCACTCTTCTATTATTTAAGATTGCCTGAGAGTTAGCAGGAGGCGTGACCCAGTGGTAGAACCCTTGCCCAGCATGTGCAAGGCCCTGGATATGATCCAGGCACCCTGGGGGAAAAAAATAGTATCAGAGTCTACCATTGTCCTGAGAGTCACTTATTGTACGGTGCAGCCAGGGAAATAGGCAATGCCGGGTACCGTCTTTTGTAATGTGGATTTTCGTTGTAACTCCTGGGGGAAAGATTGCTTTCATGTTAATGTGTGTTACATGCAGAATCCGTTTTCTACTCCCAGTGATGCAGTTTGGCAAAGGGAAATCGTGCTGCTACCGGTTTCTGACCAAAGGTCAGCAGTGGATTTGGCTGCAGACCCACTACTACATCACCTACCACCAGTGGAATTCCAAACCCGAATTCATCGTGTGCACGCACTCGGTGGTCAGGTACTATGCGGTGGCGGGTCTGGGCTTGTCCCTTCAGTGCCTGGGAAGGGTGCCCGGGGTCCATGATGACTGGTGCAGATCAGCAGCCCCTCAGGGCCTCCACTGTGTCTGAGGGTCAAGGTGGCTGTCACTTGCAGTGAACAGGACAAGTCCCAGAGCTTAGCACCTCCCAGGTAGCCTCGCTGCTGTCACCTCCCACGACTGAGACTTCTGAGTTTCCTCCAGGCCCCTGTGCAAGCCTCATGAACTCTTTTAGGCTGCCAGGATATTACTTAGTAAGTTCCTGCTTCACTGACCTACTTACATATTTTCCCCTCGTCTCTCTCCATCCCCCAGCCTTCCCGTGTCACTGATTTGAGAAGAAAATTAAAACGTTGCCTCTAAATAACTCAAACACATACTCCCTTTATTTTTAATGTTCTAGAAACCCCTGCTGGCAACCGAGGCAGTGTTCAGAGAGCAGCCAGGCTGACTGTGGGAGAAAGTCCCCTGCGGGTGTCTGGTGACCTCAGGGAGCCCTCAACCCAGGGCACCAAAAAAGACAACCCCCCCCCCCGCCCCCGCCTTATTGCAGATGCATCCTGGGTGGGGTCCCAACTCCCAGGGGTGGATAAGGGAAGTCTCCTTCCCGCCACGCACTCCAGAAATGTTAGGAACATAAATCAGTTTTAAGCTGGTTTAGAAAAGAAGCTTTTGAGAAAAAAGAAAGAAAGAAAGGGTAGAAGGACTGTATGTCATATAGTCACCTCTCCATATCCACTGGACCCTACGTCCATAGATTTAACCAACCACAGATTGAAACTCTTCCAAAAATAATCAATCCATACTGAAATGTAGACTTCTCCTCTTCTTAACAGTCCCTAATCGTGACAGTAAGCCAACTGTATACATAGTGTTTGCATTGCATTAGAAAGTGTCAGTAACCCAGAGATGCTTTAAAACACAGCCGGAGGATACGTGTAAGTTATATGCACGTTATGTCATTTTATAGAAGGTACTAGAATGTCTGTGGATTCTAGTATGCACAGGTGGTCTTGGAACCAATTCCCTCGGCTATGGAGGGACCACCATAAATAGAAATAATAATAGATAAAGGCAAACAGATGTGGCCACCTCTCCTTTTGCGTGCGTATACTGAGCAGCAGTTATACAGTACACAGAGAGAGAAACGCTAGCTTTTCTCCCTCCCATTTCACCCCATTTTATGCTCATGCTTAGAGAATCGTTCTTGGATTCCCTGTCCACCCTTGGAGACTTTAGCAGCCAGGGGTTTGTGACTTCTTGGCCAGAACCCCACTGCCACTGAGCCTGGGTCTGTCTCCAAGGGCTCAGGGTAGGCTGGACATCACCCACGCCTTGTTCTTCAGAGTGGGCTCGGCTTCTCCATCTTTAGTCTCCCAAATCTTAGGAACGTTCAGAGACCGTAGGGAGTGAAGTGAATAAGTGGATAAATAAGGTGAGAAGCATCCCGTTGACCAAGGCTGGCGTCTCGTCCCAGGGCCCTCCCGGGCCTGCAGGAGGGAACAACCCAAGTGGGGTCACTCGGGCATCACTACGTTGACCCAGTTTACCTGTGAAATTGAAAAAGAGCGTCCCTAGATGGGCCTTTAGTGGCCTGGGGTCTGAGTCTGGCTAATTCTGTATTTGTGTGAGAGAAAACTTCTTTTTTTTTTTTTAAGTGTAATGACCGGAAAAGTTTCCTGTCACCCTTCTGTAGCCACAGTCCAGACTGAACAGATTTTGAAAACAGCTTTTCATCACTTAAAGGCAAAGGCTCGCCCCACAGATGAAAATGTCTTTTTAAAGACAGTTGCATTTGAAGATTTCCTGGGGGGAGAGAATAGTGAAGGAGAGAGTCATAAAAGCACCCTGCAAATCGAAGCATTGGGGACGTCATCTCCGAGTCCCTCAAGTGGAAACTAGACAGGGAGTGAAACTCAGTCCTTCCCAGGGGAACAGACGGGGTCCTGGGTGCTGCCCCTGCTGGGCATGGGTGGCAGGGACAGAACCCCGGTTTGGGAGTTGTCATTGGAATGTTCTGCCTCCACTGTGTCTCTCGCGTTCCTGAGCAGTTATGCGGATGTCCGGGTAGAAAGGAGGCAGGAGCTGGCTTTGGAAGACCCGCCCCCCGAGGCCTTGCACCCCTCCGCCATGAAGGTAAGCACATCCTGCCGGGTGGGTGAGGTGAACATGGGCTAGGCAGAGGCTACTAAAACGGTAATGAGAAGAACAGAGCCACTCGTATTTATGGAACCTTGCTACGCTCCCGTGGTGTTCAAAGTGTCTTTAGGCATGTTCTTATCCCTCCCCGCCACCCGCACTCCCCGTGGCAGTCCTGAGAGGGCATGTTGTTATTGTCCTCATTCTCCAGATGATGCATGGACAGCCACCTACCCCAGGACACCCGAAGGTTGTCACTCACAAAGCTGGGTTAGAAGCAGCCACTGGACATAAGGTACGGCTGGCGGCTTCTCATCGTCCCCAGATGGCTATAATAAGCCCTCTTTGCATTTATCCCACAGATAAAAAGCTGGGGAGTAAAACCATCATTCCATCAGGGTGTGGAATAATTCAAGGCCACTGTCGCTAACTTAGCCTAAGTGCTGTTGTGTTGCCACCAGGCCTCGGGGTGCCTGTGGATGGACTGACCCTCACACACTTCCATGTCATTCATGCTTTTGTTTTTCTTTGGGACACTGGGGATCGAACCCAGGGCCTCATGCATGCAGAGCACACACTCTACCGCTGAGCTGCAGCCCTAGCCCCTCTCACAGGCTTCTGTTTCTGTGCCTGGGGGTTTAGTCAATATCCACGGAGGCCCCAGCTCTGCACAGGGAGCTCTGCTCTGAAAAAGGCATTTCCTTCCACGAAGCCCATTACCTTTCTTCTTCCCCCGCCCTGAGCTCTCTGGTCCCCTCTTGAACAATGCAAAGGGACATGGAGATTGTCTGCAAGTAGACCAGAGCCCTGTTCCTCAAAGCAGGCACAAACATTGGAAGAGAAAGGAAGAGGGAGTGAAGTACATCATCAACGCTAAGGCACCGTCCACTGGAAGAGCCACTTTTTTTTTTTTAAATCTCCAGCTAAGAAAGATAAAATGCTCCGAGACTGTTTGTGAAATAATGATTTCTTTTCATCAGTTGAAGGATACACCCAATTTCAGCTGTGTTAAAACGAGGGTGAGGGGTGCCTCTTAGAGTTGATGAAGTTCAGCTCTGGGCGTCCAGTGACCCTGGGACCAGTGGCTCTGCAGCAGCCAGGGCTCAGTCCTTCAGCTATTGTAATCCAACAGAAGTATCCCTCCTCCCTGGAGGACCGAATCAGCAGGAAAGAGAAATCACCTTAGAGATCAAAGAGCAGGTGGGGTCTCCGGTGCCCACCCCCCCGCCCCGCCAGCGTGCCACATGGTGGTGCGTGCTGTGTGATTCCTCACCCGCACACCAGTGTTTATGGAAGTCTTTGTCACCCAGCTCTGTCACATCACACATCATGTATCATGTCAGGGAACAGAACTAAGCCATTGATAGGCAGGTGTTGGACACATGGCACATCCCAGCCCAAGAGCAGATGTGATGCATGTGTATCATCCGGGTGGAAGTTTGTCTCCGGATTCCTCTGGGAATCCTAAGCCCAGCACGATGTCTTCTCTTAGCAATGCACATGATGTATGAACACACAAATATGATCTTGAATGCTGAGCTAAGAAACCCCTTTGAAAGGTGCTTCTCAAACTCTTCTATACACCTTTTTTTTTTCCTTTTCCCCAAATCTGCCCTTGACTGACACATATGTAAAAATGTAAGTTCCTGTGCTTGGGTGGGAGGTGTGGCGAGGGCTATGGCCATGAACTACAGAGTGAGGGTGCTCCCTCTCTCTCCCTGGGCTCATTTCACTGCTGAGCAGAAACACACAGTTCACATCCAGCTGGGGTCTGGGGACCCTCAGTGGAGCCTTGCAGGGGACCCTATCACTGAGCAGCACAGCCTTACAATCTCTGTCTCCCATAGCACACTCCACATCCTGTTGTTCTGTTCTGCACAAAGGCCTGTGGGTTGCATATCAACCCATCCAGCCCTCCTTGCAAACACACATGTGTGCACACACACACACACACACATACATACACACCGAGACACACACACAGACACACACACACACAATGTGCATTCTCACCGGAACCATGACTCAAAAGACAGAACAGCCACGTGGACCCACACACGAGATTTTATGGGCAAGAGTGTGGGTACAGGCCAGCCTGTTGACTTGGCTCAGAGGGGGCTGGTGATTCCCATCTTTCTATGACCAGGTAGGAACAGGAATCATTCACTGTTTTCTTCTTTAGCTTAAAAATTACAATAACCCCTGTTTTCATGTATCTATGACACCTAAGCCATCGAGGGTGGGGAGTTGGTCCCTCAGAGAGTTGGACACTACAGTTGTTTTCTCCTCATGACGTTTGAGGCAGAGGCATCCTGAGAGCCAGGATCAGTTAAGGGGCAGAAGCCGAAAGACAGGAGACCTCAGGCCCTTTGCCTGTTCTCTCTGCTCCAGGGTCACTGAGGCTAGAGGAGCTGCTCGTGAGTGGCAGCATGGGTTGTACCCGGGAAAGGTCCAAAGGCACTTATCATTCACTGTGTTAACAATCTAGTGCTGACAGCAACCTTGTTTCTAGAATCTGCTTCTAGAAACACAAAATTTGGGGTGCAAAGCATTTTTTTAAAATTCAGTCAATTGGGAAAAACCTGAAAAATCAAAACAAAAGGTGAAAAAATGTAATCAATGTCATCTAGATATCACCGAGAGGCCCCACGCCTCTCGGTGATATCTAGATGACATCCATGTGCCTCTGCTGACCCCAGTGTTGTCCCAGGCAGCTATGTTGTCCCAAGAGCTCCCGTGTTGTCCCACATATTCAGAACTGAGGACATCGTCCCTTGCCATCTCCCCCGTGTTTAACGGGGACTTTGTGCGTGTGTTTCAGGACAAGGGCTCCAGCCACGATCCCCAGCAGCACTTTAACGCTCTCGATGTGGGCGCCGCAGGCCTGAATGCCAGTCCCTCGCCATCAGTGTCCTCAAGGAGCTCCCACAAGTCCTCGCACACAGCCATGTCCGAACCCGCCTGTGAGTGACAGTCTGTGGGTGGGCAGAGCCCCACCGAGGGTCCCTGGCTTGGTTGACCCAGGGCAGTCCCTGCCTCTTTGCAAGCAGAAGGTGCCCTGCGGTGGACACTCCCTGGGCTTCTTTTCCCTGTCCCCTGTCCACACTCTGGTGTCTCCACTGCAGCACCAAGCAAAGACAAAGCAGGGGACATGCCCGTCCGTCCCCTGGTTACCGTTAGTGCCTCTGGTGAGGGATTGGATCCTGCAGCCGCTGGGCCCAGTGCTGGGAATGAAGTCGGGGTTCCTGTGGTGTCTTCCACCCGCCCCAGGTCGGGCTTTGGTGGCTGGCTGAACCACCTTACCGTGGCAGGCTCCTTTGTCAGAGGCTCCAGCCGAGCTCTGTGCCGTGCACCCTGTGGTCACTGTTCCCCTCTGTGGCTAAGGACGCTGCTGAGTGTCTGTGGGTCGGGGAAGTAACGCCTTGCTCTCTTCCAGCCACTCCGACCAAGCTGATAGCAGAGGCCAGCACCACCGCTTTGCCAAGATCAGCCACACTACCCCAAGAGCTGCTGGTGCCCGGGCTCGGCCAGGCAGCCACGATGCCGGTACGTGTGAGACCCCAGACGTCTCAACAGGGGCACGCTACCATGTGGCGGGGCTGCAGAGCCACAGGCTGAATTCCCCCAGGGAATCAGTTTTACTTAGAGATGGAGAGTATGGGGTGGCGGGTGGGGGTACAAAGTGACGTCATTTAAACGTGAACCATTTTTATAACAAAAGTAACATGGATGTCGATCAATAGGATACAAAATCCAAGTGGATTTTTAAAGATCCAACTCAAAACTTCAAACCTGAAATCACACCCCATTCCTGGGAGGGTGTGTGGTAGGACCCTCCCGTTTTGAATCACGCTTCACGCTGGTGACGATATTGGAGAAGCCTGTTGTGACTAAAACCAGGCCTTTCCAGAAGGCCAGGGAACGAATGGCCTCTTAGAAAGCACACCAGCCACATGTAAAGTCAACAGCACACAATATTCCGGCCAGCAATTGCCATCTAGCAAACCACACCTAGCTTCATGGCATAAGGGGTCAGGAATTCAAAAAGGGCGTGATGGGGTGGCTCTTCTCTGCCCCCGGGGTGTTGGGGGGTCTCACCAGCTAGCCTAGCGGATTCTCATCCTAGACGGTCCTCACACTGGGCAGTCTGGCCCTCGGCCTGGGGTGGCTGAAGGCTGGGCTCAGCTGTGATCCTCCAACCTTGATGCTTCGGTCTCTCCTCACCTGGGGCTTCCCCCAACATGGTGGCTGGATTCCAAGAGGCAGCATCTAGAGATCCATACAGATGCTACACAGCCACCTGACCTTACCTTGGAAGTCACCCAGTGACCTTCCTCCTGACCCAAACGGTCACAGCTCCCATCTTCAGCTCACTCATACAGAGGGACATATGACTCCTACTCCTGTATGGGAAAAGTGTCCAGGGACTTCAGGGGCCACATCCGGGTAGCTGCCGGATGGATACCTTCTGCCCGTCCCTCACTGGCTTTGGAGATGGAGTCACCGTGCCATCTTCCTTGACATTCTTCCTGAGCAGCGTGGCTGAGGCTTACTCTCAACATGGGGCTTGACCAAGACCACTTCCTGTCCCTCCAGCCCCCTCTGGGCACTAGGAAGCTGCCACCGCTGTTCTTCCAGAGTGTGAGCTGCCCAGGACACCACTGATGGCACCTCAGTGTGCCTATGCTCCCCCTCAGCTGAGTAGAGGGACAGAGTCAGTAGAACCCAAGCCAGCATCCTGGGATCCCATGGGACCCAGACTCAAAGCAAGGCCTCCTGCTGTCACTGCCCCCAGCTGCCGTCCTGGGCAATGGTTCGATTTGGGCTTCTTTTTATAGTCCCCAGTTTGGGGATGATTTCAGAAGAGTCCTTTTTACTTTTCTTTTAAAAACCACGCCAGTCCATAGAATGGGGATTTGCATTTCTCATTTCTCCGTGTCCCTGGGTGATAGGGGACCAAGGATGTGACTCAGTCCACCTCCTGGGAGTCTCTAAAGATTCCAGGTGGCCGGTGAGACCGCCCCCATCTTCATCACCTGGATGAGGTCCTGCATACAGACATGCACAGTGTGTCTGCCCGGCTGTGCTCATGTTGAACAGAAAGAAAGAGGGCCTCGCAGGAAGCCACCCCTGGTTAAAGTCTACCCCCAGGGCCACTGAGACTGCTGAGAAGGGACCACCTGGGGAGAAGGCAGCCCAGCCCAGGATGAGGTCTAAACAGGGGTAGGTGACAATGGCCTTGCTAAACACGCCCAGATGAGCCGTCATGGACTCAGAGTGCTCCAGGGTCACCTGCACCCTGCACCAGCTGGGGGTTGGCCCAAGTGACATGCCCTGTATGGGAAACAGCGTGACCAGGGGACAGACGCCCATACTTTCTAGAAGCCCTCGCTTCCTGCTATTCACCTAGGGCCGGCAGATCCTTTAAGTTGGAGAACCCAACCAACCAAGGGACTGTCCCCTGGAACAGCCCAGAAGCAGTGTCCGTGAACAAATCTCTTTTCTCTTAACAGGCTCCTCTGCCTTCCCCACCGTCCTGTGACCTCACGCAGCAGCTTCTGCCTCAGACCATTCTGCAGAGCCCACCTGCTCCCATGGCACAGGTAAATCTGGTGCTTGGAACAGGGCAGAACGCCTTCCAGACAGACCGTGTGATGGTGTGGGTGTGTTGGTGTTGGTGTCTGTCACACATGGGTACCAGCCAAGGCCTGAAAATGTGCTTCCCGAGGTGCGCGTGGGGGTGTGTGGAGCTAGACGCTTCATCATCTGCCGTTCTTGTCCTCTCCACAGACGTTCTCCAATTCTCTGTCCCCGGGTCTGTTTTTCATCCTTGTAACCATCTTTGTTAATCTCTCCTCTGTCTCTCTCTCTCTCTCTCTCTTTCTTTTATACTAGGAATTGAACCCAAGGGTGCTTTGCCACTGAGCTATATCCCCAGTCCTTTTTATTTTATTTTATTTTTTATTCTGAGACAGGATTTTGCTAAGTTGTTAAGGCTGGCCTCGAATTTGCAATCCTCCTACCTTGGCCTCCTGAGTTGCGGTGCATTTCTTTCATTTTTTTTTTTTATGACTCCAAATTGGCTATATTCTAGGAAAGGACTGGATTAGGCCAAATGTCATAGGAAGACTTTGAAAGGATCTAAAGCATGTGGGTTCTAGTACTCTAGCCTAACATTTTTTTTTAAAGTAATTATGAGTGATTCCTTCCTGATTTCAACAGCATTCAGCCAGTTATTATCTGGGTCAGTCTGTAATCAAGGTATTAGGGACACAGAGATAACTGTAACACAGCCCTTGCTTTTAGTACTATAAAGAAGGTGGCATACGTATAAATGGAGAAACCACCCAGGCCGGGCAGGTTATTCTAAAAAGTCAGTAAGAAAAGTGTCTGCTTAGGAAAGTCTGAGCTGGCTTCCTGGGGGATGTGACATTCCAGTTAGCCCTGGAAAGATAACTAGGATATTGCCAGAGAATTATGGGGCAGCAGAGAAGAGGGCCCCGTGCCTGTGCTTTGGTGGGGAGTCATGAAAGTGTCTGCCATGCTCGGGGCTGACCGCAGCAGGGACCGATCAGTGTGTGGTCGGGCAGAGAATTGAGCCTCTGCTAAGCCCAGAGCTCTGACTTCAGTTCCTTTAAGGGCCACTTAGCTGCTCCAGTCCCTGGCCACAAGCTCAAGCCGGGTCCCAGGCAGCCGCTCGCCAACCCTTGAACTTGTCAGGGCGCGGCCTCGCCCGTGCTGGTGCGGATCTGTCACAGCTAAGGAAAACCATTCAGAACATATGTCCTTGCACAAGTGGCCGCTGGTGCTTTCCTGGAATAAGAAAGACACACGTGAGCCTCCACTGCTGGCTGGCTGGCTGGCGGGCTTGAATAATGATGTAGAAGCTATTCATCCAGAGTCGACTGATTAAAATTTATTCTCTGGACAAAAAAGAGAATGATTTTTTTTTCCTCTTCAATGTCCAAGACACATTTGGTATGAAATTAGTAACTTTTTCAATCCAAAGGCACATGAGATGAGAATTCCTTAAACTTCTGGCCCTTTCATATCAAAGAACATCTGTATTTATAATATATATGTATGATTAGGTTCCTTGGGGAATTTATCTTTCATTTATTGAACTTCGCTTTACTTAATAGTGACTGCTTTTGGTCTGTTAGGAATACTGTACTTGATGATAACTAAATTCTTTAAGACGTTTTTGTTAATACAGTTCACCCTTGGCATTCACAGGAAATTTGTCCCAGGACCCCCGACAGATACCAAAATGCATGGACGTTCAAGTCCCTCATATAACATGGCACAGTATCTGCATGTAACCTACACATGTCATTGTCATCGTATGCACTGTAAATCATCCCTAGACAACTCATGATCCTGATACAGTGTGAATGCTGTATAAATAGTGGTTATAACATATTGTTTAGGGAATAATAACAAGGCAAATTTTAGTCTGCACCTATTCAGCACATACATTTTTCAAGTATTTTCCGTCTGAGGCTGGTTGAATCTGCAGAGACAGAGGCCCGCTCTACTGTCTGTTTCCAAATCAGCTGAACATTTTCATACTCACCCCCGGGGTGAATGATGAGATGCTATGATTTTTCTCTTTTTCCCTTCACTGATGACATCACTCTCAGGGAGGGGAGGGGGAAATTAAATCCAAAATTGGGGGAGTAGTCATCTGGACAACCGGTGGTTTCCCAAAAAGCCTCTTTTGCTTACCCTGTGTTTCTAAAATGTCTCTAAGTGAGAGGAGATCCTTTCATCACAAAGGCCGCAGCCGGGGCTGGGGTGTGGTTTAGTGGTGGAACATGTGCCTAGCATGCACGAGACCCTGGGTTTGACCCCCAGCACTGCAAAAAAAAAAAAAAAGCCACAGTCAAGAAGATATCAAGAGAGCAATGACTGGGAGTCTAGGGTAACAAACATTTCTTAGTGCCAGGTGCAGTGGCACACTCCTGTAATCCCAGCGGCTCAGGAGGCTGAGGCAGGAGGATCATTGGTTCAAAGCCAGCCTCAGCAAAAAGTGAGGTGCTAAGCAACTCAGTGAGACCCTGTCTCCAAATAAAATACAAAATAGGGCTGGGGATGTGGCTCAGTGGTCGAGTGACCTTGAATTCAATCCCCGGTAAACCCCCCACCCCGGAAAAAAAAAAAAAATTTCTTAGCTTTAGCTCTGGCTCCCTACTCACTGTCCAGTCCCCTGGCCACTCCTGGTGCAAGCCACCAAGAGCCGGCTCTGCTAGAGGTAGAAGGGGTGGCCCTGAATGTCTCTCCTGTACAACCAACTGTAGAAGTTTTTGTGTCTTGTTTTAAAAAATGAAATAGCAGATACAGTTTGCTTGCTTGCTCAATGGAATGTTCTTTCAAAATCCACCTGAGGGCTTCAACACAGTGCTGGGGATTTTTTGCAAATGGCCTGGGCATTTTTAAACTCACATAACAGCCAAACATTGTTTTAAGTGAAGTCCGATGTCAAGGGCACTCTGATTGAGGTGGGAGCTGGGGACAGGAGTGGAGAAAACCTTAGCCCCACTTTGCCACTCGGGTTCAGGGGGCGCTGTCCTTGCCAAGCTGAGGAAGACTGCTGGGGACCCAAAACACCTTGGCCTTACCCCCACCCAGCCCTGTGACCTCAGCAAACACAACCCGGGTTTGTGGGGAAGCCGTGGAGTGTTCACAGGTCTGCCTGCCTGGCGGGGCAATGGCTGGGGCACGGGGGTCTCTGCAAACACCGCCCCTGCCGTGATTCGTCATTGGCTCTATCTGTTGTCATTTTGCTCATCTAAGACTCTGTCATTGCATCCTCTGGTACATTCAAAGGGCAGAGGAAAGAAAAGAGAGAGAGAGAGAGAGAGAGAGAAAAGGAAGCCTTGCACAGGGCCGGCTCCTGTATCCCAGATGCTGAGGCAGGGGGCGCCATTGAGCTCAGCCTGGGCAGCCCATCTCCAAACAAAAAAGGGAGGGAGGAGGCAGGTCGGAGGGAAGGAGAGGGAGAGGGAACAGGAAAGGAAACCTGTGCCCAGCAAACTGATGGGCCTCAAGAAGTGGACGTTGCACCCAGAGAGCATCAGTCCCTCCTCCCAACTTATGATCTCCTTCCAGGGCAGGACCCTGTGTGGGGACAGGTGACAGCAGGCAGAGCTCACCTGCAAGATTTTCCTAAAGGGCTTCAGGGGTCCGAGGGAAAGGAGAGGGGAATTTGCAAAGCACACACGAAGGCCTCGTATAGGGTCTCCCTCTGGCACTGTCACCTCGGGGCAAATTGCAGGTGACTGGTTCACTTGTGTAGCAGCTGGTGAGCATGGGGGAGGGTCCCAGGCCTGGAGGGCACTGGGATCAGATCTAGGGTAATGATGGGCCCAGAAATGCCAGCGAAGGTGTCACATACAGAGTACAGATGAGAGGAAAGGATTTCCGGGGGCCCCTGGATGCCGGGAAGGGTGGCCAAGGGATGGGAAAGGGACTCGACCTGTCTGCCAGGCCCAGGTAACTCTCTGATCCGGTTGTGTTTTTGACTCCACCTTGAAGTTCTCGGCCCAGTTCAGCATGTTCCAGACCATCAAGGACCAGCTGGAGCAGCGGACGAGGATCCTCCAGGCCAACATCCGGTGGCAGCAGGAAGAGCTTCACAAGATCCAGGAGCAGCTCTGCCTGGTCCAAGACTCCAACATCCAGGTGATGCCCCTGTCCTCCCTGCTCTGGGCACAGCCCTCAGCTTCCAGGTCAGGGGAGCTTCCAGGCAGAGGGAGCCGGGGCTGGCACCTTCATGCCACCCCATTTGTTGCAAGCCCCTGGGGACACTCTGCACATTCTGATAGCAGCAGCCTGACCCCCAGCTATCGCTTTATGGAATCATTCTGAGAGTTATTTTGGAAGAAAAACTTTATTTATTGGATCTCTTTCAAGGATGGATGATGACGATGATGATTATTACCAAAATTTTACTTAGTTTCAGGACTGTTTGTCCTCACAAGTGCATCATTGGGATCCAGCCATTAATTGCAAATGTATTTATAGCTAACCTTGGAGTTTGCTCTGGGAGCATTGAGAATTTGCAGCCCCTTTAGGAGAGAAGCAGAGAGAACAAAACACACACCTTAAAAATGGCTGCAGGATTGTCCCCGCTGTTCCCCCCCCACCAATCCCTGCCACTCAGATCCTCTCCTGGGCACCCGGTTCAGTTGCACCTTGACAGGCAGATGGAGGGCGGGGACACAGTGTGAGCCTCAGCATAGAGAGATGAACGCAGGGTGATGTGTTGGTGGGCGAGAAATGCCTCTTTTAGGCCATCGGCTTCTTACGGTGTTCAGCAGTTCTCCTGGGAAGGCACGGGGACCCAGGAGTGACCGTTGGACATTCCTCCCCTTCCTGCTCCTACCCAGGCTTGTCACCATAAATAAGCCCAAACCAGGACAGCCACCACCCTATGCTGTCAGCCCAGCATCTGAGCATGTCTACAGGTGTCACCGACAGCCTGGGGCATACCCAGAGCCCTGCTGCTCCCTCCCCCACCGTACTGTCACCCCCACCTTGACTAGAGGAAGGAAGAGTTCCATGGTTACATAGAAAAGAAATGGGGTCATCAAGCTGTCACATTAGTAAACAGCCACTTTGTGCTTATTCTTTCCCAACTGCAATATTTTTCTCACTGGTCCCAGGGCCTGATGGGTTGCTCCAAACTTGCCCGACTCCAGTGACTTTAGTGGAATTTTACATTAACGGAGTCGGGAAAATTGAACCAGAAACTGCTGAAAGCCACGTAGGCGTAGAAGCCTCCTCCTCAGTGTCTGGACTTTTCTGCTTCCTGCCTTTTCAATACTAAAGCTAGATTTTAAAATAACAGGCAACAAAGTTATCACTTTCACTCCCTGTGATGCAGAACTGGACTTTCCTCATGACGGGTGCTGTCTGCTAACCCCCTAAGTACACACACCAAAGAGCACCCCGAGTTCTAGGAGGGATGAGGTAGAAATCAAGCCTCGGGGGCCATCCTTCCTGCGCTTGGTGCTTTGACCTTATCTTTGTAGTGGAATTTTCCAAAGAACATGGAAATCCACAGATAGCCAAACCAGAGAGAACATTTCCTCAAGCAGTCTGTCTTCTTGTTTTTTTTCCCCAAGATTTAAAGAAATATAATGCAAAATGCTTAACCAAAATGACATTGTTTTTTTAAATTTAATTGTTTAAAAAAAAAAAAGGACATAAAAATGACTCCACTTTCTACCCCACCCCAAACAAGAGAAGAATTAGATGAAATAAGATCAAAACATTGATCACCTTTGAAGCCTAATGATGACACATTATGATATGGGTTTCCACTGCACTTTTTCTCTATTGTTCGTACTTCTGAAATGTCTTGTAATGATGAGAATTCATTAAAAGTACTCAGATGAGAATACTGAAAGTTCACTTGTGAGTGTAGGATCTACTTATTCTTAGAAATTAGAATTTTTTTTTCCTGACAACTTTTTCTACTTTTAAGAATCCATCTTCTTGAGCCATAAAATTTGACTGTATTTTTGGTAGAATAGACATAGATGTCTGCAGCAGCAAACCAGGATCCCCACCCAGGGACCTTGGTCCCCACTTGCTCTTTCCCTATTTTAATTCATTGGCTGAGAATTTTCAATGAGACTGTGTGCTTACAATGCTTCCTAAGGATGATTTTTTTAACTGGGTTATGAGAGAGAGGTCCCCTAAGGTTGCTGATGTTTGCACCTAGATGAGGTCATGCCGTGGGTCACGTGGGTCAGGCTGTTCTGCCGGAAGGTCCTGCCACCCTCCTCCCATCCATGGAGAGCTGCCTGTGGCTCATTTGGAAAGCACGTGCGCCCTCTGCTGGCTACTCAGATGAATGCTTAAAAAGACCACTAGCAATGGCAAAAGGCATTTGTTCCTTGGTTGGTTCTTTTCATCCATCCATCCATCCATCCATCCATCTGTCCATCTGTCCATCCTTCCATCCATCATCCAACATACATCTATCCACCTGACACTCGTTACATACCAGGTACTTGATGGAGCTCTATGGGGACACAGAAATACAACAGGATTTCTACCTTCAGAGAGCATGTATGGATGATGGTTCAGAGTAGCACAGCAGTCTGTTATGTAACACTAACAGGAACAGCTTGAGCAAAAAGCTTCATTCATTGTTCATGTATTTTTCCACTTATTCATTTATTAGACAATCTTTAAATTGTCCAAGGAGCAAAACACTCCTTTTCTTTCATTTTATATTGCTAACATTTACCTAACATTTACTCCACATTTACTGTGTCTTGGGTACTTTATATGCTTTGACTTTATATAGTCCCTTCTAAGGTAATGTGCTGTTGATGTCCCTGTTTATAATGAAGAAATCATGGCTTTTGAAAAGTTATGAAATGCTCATACTGTTAATAGTTGGTAGGGTGACAACCAGAACTCAAACATGTCTCTTATAGGTTAGATTACAAAACCTATCATAAATAAAGCTTGCATTTATTCAAACTCTACTCAGAAGGTAGACCGTATCCTACCAGAAAAAAAAATATATGGGAATTAAGCTTTTGTAGAGGTTTTTACTAAAGAGGTAAGGAACAAGGTACCCTGTGTGCTATAAAACAAGCCGTATACTAAAATAGCTGTTGCTGCAGAGATGCTCATCTTCAAACATGTGATCTGAGATGCTGGGGACCAGGAAATTCTTCTTAGATTCTAAAGTGGCAGAGAGGCCTCATTTTAAAACTACAGGCTTCTTGCCTGGGGAAGGAGCATAAGAGGAGATTGAGGGGGGTGGTCTCCCAATCTGGGTCCCATCTGTGAGTGAGATATTTGAGCAAATTGGTCTTTGGGGGCTCCTCCAAGCATCTACAGGGTGTGGCTCTACACCTGCCTTTCCAGACTCAGGAAGTATCAACACGTCAGTCTGTGCTGGGTGTGTGGTTGGATCAGCCCGACTGGAAGAGAACACACCAGATGCCGGGAGGAAGAGAAACCCCTCCTGAATACAGAATGTCCCCTGTCAAGAACTGTGGCATAGATAATGCCCGTCGATGTCCGCGATCCCCATGAGGGGCTTTTGTTAAAAGAGGTTGTTATAGGGTCTTTGGTTAAATTATTATTAAATCCGTTTTTCTTAAACACATAGAGTCAACTTACAGATCCTATGTTTCTTACAAACCTACTAAAAAGAACAATCCTCTCACTGTCTCTTTAGTTGATGTTCAACGAGTTTATAAGTTCAACAAGTCGTGAATAATCCGCAGTGTCTGCCAAAGCCATTAATTTACAAGTTTCATTTCTCGGAATCTCTCAATTATTTCACATATCTAACAAATAAAAGTTAAAAACCTAAGAAGTAAAACCTTTCCAAGCACTTCAACTGTTTTCAACCAAATACGGCATCTTGGTGGGATTGGTTCCAAGACCCCCACAGATAACCCACATCCGCGGATGCTCCAGGGTCTCCTGTGAAATGGCATGGTGCCTGCACACACCCTACGCCCCCCGTGGGCTCTCAATCCCCTCGAGACGACTTATAATGTGAATGCAGTGTACACTTATATGTTGTTTTACTGTGTTGCTTAGGGAATTGAGACAAGGAAAACACCTGTGTGTGTTCAGTACAGATACAGGTCTTTTTTCCAAATATTTTCCATCTAAGGTAGGTTGGCTGTGCAGATATGGAGGGCCAACCGTACACTGTACAAACTTTTTTAAATAGAGATTCTCACGAATACTTACGTTCTTTACAAACTTTGTCGCATTCCCTTTTTAATTAAAATGATCAGGCTCACATATCACAGCCTATTAGATGTCTGACACGTCTGAGATGATCATGATGGCTATAGAACTGAACCCTGGTCTTAAAGCACATGGACACGCTATGGTATCGTCCTCTCTGTGTTTACTGTCCTGCTTGGGAAGAGAGGGTCCCCTGCTTCCTGGGAGCAAATTTACCACCTCAGCTGAGGACACTGGGTTGAAGATTCCCAAGGGCAACATGGGTTACTGTCCCTGATCAGTTTGCAGAAATCCAAGGCCCAGCAAAAGGCCCCATCCTACTTGATAGGACCATGCTGGGGGTTAGCCAACCATCTGCCACCACTTTATAGTGCTCATTTGATTCACAAAGTGTCCCCCTCTTCCGATAAGAAACTGATAAGCCAACTTAGAATATAGATAAGTGCTTCAAATTGCTTATGGAGCTTCTGGATCTAAACTTCTTTCACCCTGGTAGGTGTCAGTCACAGGACTGCAACCTTCGGGAGGGCAGGGACAGTGTCTCTCCAACTCAACCACGGTGTCCAGAGCGTTTCACATGCTAGAAGCATCCTAGGCACCTGCTGTCCATAAGCTGAGTTGACCATCTATTTCCAGCCAAAACAGGGACACCAAGAATCTGACCATCTACTGTGACAGGAGGAGGCACACTCTCTGGCCTCAACCTTACAGCTGTTTCTCTTCGGCTCCCAGATGTTCCTGCAGCAGCCGGCTGTCTCCCTGAGCTTCAGCAGTGCCCAGCGGCCCGAGGCTCAGCCGCAGCTGCAGCAGAGGCCGGCCACAGTGTCTCAGCCTCAGCTTGTGGCCAGCCAGCAACTTTCAGGACAGATGGCTTCAACCCAGGTCACCAACCAGCACCTGCTCAGAGAGTCGAGTGTAATATCCACCCAGGTAAATGTGCCCTGTCCACACTCTGTCTTTGACACATAGCGGACACTCTCACAGTCTAGGAGGTGCTTGATTCCTGCAGCCCACGAGGACTGCAAACCTACACGCTGCTCCTCTCTGATCCAGATTATGGTGGTGGCTTTTCTTTTAAGTCATTTTGAATGTCCAATTTGTAGTCTTTTCCTATGCCCTTGCCCCTAAAGACATCACGCCGTTGAAACTTTCAGCTTTGAGACTGAATTAGCACTCACTGATGGCCACATGTCCTAAGCACTCGCTGATGGCTGGCCACGTGTCCCTCCACACCTGTCCTAGGTCCCCCCGCCCACTGCATTCAGCCCTATCCATGTGAGCAGCCACCGCTGCTAACTGTCCCAGCCCAGACCGCCTGGCTCTTCCTGGTCACCTGAAGTCCCTGCCGAGCCCTGCCCTTGAGACCATTTCCACTCATTACCCACCACCAGTGACCTCACAATCTGACCGGGTCACTGGTGGATAAATGGCACTTCAATGGAATGGAACAAAGGGGACCTGAGCCCCTTCCATCACAGGTGGAAGGCAGGATCCTGCCTCTCCTGGGGCCTTCACATCTACACCAAGTGCTGAGCTCCTGTGGTCACAGGGGAGCAAAGATGGACTACAGAGTCCTTGTCTCCAGGGAGCCCCAGAATCTGGGAACTTAGCCAGGATATAGAGTACAATATGGAGAGGTACAGTCGTCCCTCAGTCTCTGCCAGGGATGGATTCAGGAACCCCCATGTGGATCCGAATCACGGATGCTCAAGTCCCTTATGTAAGATAGCAGCCCAGTATTCACGGAGCCTATGCACATCCGCCTTACGCAATTTTTTTTTTCCTGTTGGGGACTGAACCCAGGGCCTCGTGCATGCCAGGAAAGCCCTCTGCCCCCAGCCCCTATATACTTTAAGTCATCCCTGGATGACTTATAATATTTAATATTAGGTCGATGTTATGTAGTTTTGTATTATCTCGAGAATAAAGACAAGAAAGTAATCTGGACGTGCTCAGGGCAGATGCAACTTATTTGGAAAATTTTTGATAGGTGACTGACTTAGAGAGTTTACTCCATCCTTATCCAAATTTGTTTTTTGAAGATGCAGCCTTTGATTCAAAGGGTTATCACATCAGGAAAACCAATGTGTGGACATAGCCAAGGGAATTGTAGAAAGGGGAAAGCTTAGGAAGGGCTTACACTATCCCATATTAAATGATTTTGTTAAAGCTCTAAAAATTATAAGCACCACGATATCACTGTATGAACGGACAGAGCATATCAATATGGGGATGGGAGGAGTGTTCCTCACAGATGGATCAGCATGTGCAAAGGCCCTGAGGCAGGAGTAGGACTGGTGAGTTGGAGAAACAGCAAGGAGTTCCGTGTGTCTGAGATGGAATTCGTGAAGCGATAAAGTATTCAGTCCAATGCACGTTTGTTACTTGTCTGCTAAAAAAAAACTTGGCACTGACCAAGACCCACAGGATTCCAAGAATCCCTGAGGCACTTGGAATCCAATGGGGAAGACAGCCACAAAAATCAAAATAGTTCAGTACGTAATTGGTGGGTCCTACATCAGAGGGATGGCCAGGGTTAGGTTGAAGGACGAGTCTGGGGAGGTTTCCTGGAAAGATGACCTGCGTCTAAGTGTTGTCCTTGCCAAAAAATGATACTCCAGGGCCCGAAGGCAATGCGGAGTTCCCAGGTGATGCAAGGCAGCAGCCGTCCAGTGAGCAGCCTGACGCCCCAGTTCAGCAGCCCAGCCGCTCCGGGCCTGAGCCTGACCGCACCCGCTGCCGCCTCCCAGGACGCCAGCCAGTGCCAGCCCAGCCCCGACTTCAGCCACGACAGGCAGCTCAGGTGCGAGGCCAGGCTTCATGCAATGCTCTCAGCCAAGGGAGCAGCCTGGGGTCCTTGGAGGTGACCCGCTGCCTTCTGGTCTGCTGAGAACAGTCAGGGGATCAGGGGCGAGGGTCAGCCATAGAAAATCCAGAGGCCCGCTGCCCTGGGCCGCCCCGTCGGGGCTGCAGCTGGTGCTGAGTGACCTTCACCTTGTCTCTCTCTCTGCTCCAAGGCTGCTGCTGAGCCAGCCCATCCAGCCCATGATGCCTGGCTCCTGTGACGCCAGGCAACCCTCCGAGGTCAGCAGGACCGGACGGCAAGTCAAGTAGGTGGCCCTGGAGGAGGGAGGAGCAGAGAGCCCCCAGGCTGGGGGATGGGCCCAGGCTGGATTTACCTTTCTCTTTAAAAGGATGCTCCCGGGCTGGCGGGGCTCACTGTGAACGTCCTACTAAAGACAGGCTCAAAGCGCGCCACTTTATGGGGACTCGTCCCCTTGGCTTCCCTTCCACCGTCTCCCATTTCGGCAAACCAACTTTTGTATCCACGCTCCAAGCTTCGAACAGCACCTGGAGGGAACCATTACTGATACTCCCCAGTGTGTGCCATTTGGGATTTCTTTTCAGGTGTAAAAGGCTTGGTGACATTCCTGGTGAAGGTACCCTCTCTCCTCCCTGAGAATCCCCCCGCGGGCTCCTGCTGGCTGTCCCACAGGCACCTTGGAGCTCGCTTGCTAGGCCCCAGGATCCTGAGACCCTGCCTTGGTGGTGCCCCGAAACCCAGCCTCCTCTTGCTCATTTCCTGTCTGAATCCATTTTCTGTTGCTAGAACTGAATACCACAGACCGGGGAGTTTATAGAGAAGAGAGGTTCATTAAGCTCACGGTTCTGCAGGTTGGGCCGTCCAAGAGCAGGGCGCCAGCATCTTCTCAGTGTCTGGCGAGGCCCCCTGCTGAAGGACACATGACTCTGCCCTCCCGAGCCCATCAAATCCTACTTACTCCCAAGGCCTACCCCATATCATGAACATGACACTTGGGGGGTTAAGTTCCCAACTCGTGAACTTTGTGGGGACACAGGCAACCTGTGGCACATCCCCGGGCTCTTTTCTACTTGTACCCCCAGGACCAAGAGCAGATTTGCTCAGCTGCCCCATCACTAGGGATAAGGGTAACTGGAGACCTAAAGGTGAATCACTTCATTTAGGAAATAAATGTTACTGGAAAATAGTCTCCAACCCTTTGAAAGGAGGCAAAAATATGAGTCTTGGACAGACGTCTGTTTTATATAAACCCTAGTTGTTCCAAGTTCACCAGAACAGTGCTACCTAATGAGGCCTGGTAAGGATTTCCAGGGACCATCCCCAGAAGACCTTCCCGTGTCCCTCTGCCGCATGAGCTGACAGTAACTGAGCATTTCTGGGGCTCAGGGACCCGTAAGGACATGATTCATTTTTTTTTTTTTAATCAACGAAGCAACTCAGCATTAAAGCAGTTAGGTCACGTTTTCAAAGGCTCTGCACTAGTGCTGGGGGTATAGCTCAGGTGGTAGAGTGCTTGCCTCGCATGCACAAAGCCCTGGGTTCAATGTCCAGCACCCCCCCCCCAAAAAAAAAAGAACTCAAAGGATCTACACTGTATATGGCAGAGTCAGAGCCACCTGACTCTCAGAGGCCCCTGCGGCCTCTTGACTCTTCAAAGTGACCTTGTGGGTCCTGTGTGGGGGTCTCTTTGGGATCTTCTACACCCTGAGACTTTCCGGCCCTCCCGTTGGTCATGACTGAAGAGGGACATGCATTACACAGGAAGCCACTTTTCACAGTTCCTTGTTCTGTTCTCAGGTAGGCACCGGCCTTTGGTTTTGGTTTCAGATTTTGCTTCTTCTTCCTAAATGATTCAAATAAGCAGAAAGATACTTATTTCATCACTTTCCAGAAATGCTTAAAATGCTGTAAATGAGCAAAAATAGACTTTTTTTTTTCCTTCTGGGAACCTTATCTGCCGTTTTCATTTAAACCAATAATTTCTGCCCTCTGCATCTCCCCGACTGTCTCTTCCAGACACGACCCAAGGACACATCCTCCAAGGAGTATCAGGATCTGCCTCACACACACAGAGGCCTCCCTGCAGGGCAAGTTGGGCGTCCCCAAGCCTGTTACAAATGACCCCATGCAGGGAAATAACATCTGCAAAAATATAATACAAAGTAGACGTCTCTTTGTAAAATTCCAGAATCTTCCAGAGCTTTCCCAAAGGTCCTTTCTCCACTCCTTGTTAGGGGACTATTATCAACGATGCCTCTTTTTATTATTATTATTTATTATTATTATTATAGTAAAATATACATAATAAAATATTTACTATTTAAACCATTTTAAAATACATAATTCAGTGGCATTAACTAGAGTCACACTGTTGCCCTGTCCGCATAGCTGTTTCATCTTCCCCAACTGAAACTCTACTCCTGTTAAACAATAACACTCCATCCCTCTTCCCTCTGCCCTGGTAACCACCATACTTTCTGTCTCTGTGACTTTGACTCTTCTAGGTACCTCATGCTATATGTATGCTTTGGTGACTGGCTTATTTCACTTATCATAATGTCTTCCGGGGCCATTCATGTTGTAGCATGTGTCAAAATGCCCCCCCTTTTCAAGGCTGAGTAATATTCTATTATATGTATGGTATATTACAAACGCACAGACATATATGTATTTTTATCTATTACCTGTCAATGGACATTGGTTGTCACTACCTTTTAACTAATGTGAATAATGTTGGCCTAAGTGTGAAGACACCTGTTCAAGTGTTTCACTTATTTTAAGTGTATACCCAGAATTGGAACTGCTCAGTCACAGAGTTGTTCTATGTTTAATTTTTTGAGGACCCCTATGCCATTTTCCTCAGTGGCTGCACCACCTAGTTTATGTTCTCACCAATGGTGCACAGAGTTCCAGTTTTGCCACATCCTTACCAACAAGTGTTATTTTGTTTTATTTTTTAATATAATAGCCATCAAAATGGGTGAGAAGTGGGTAGCTCCTTTTGGTTTGCTTTTGCCTATTGACAAGTGACATTCAACATCTTTTCACACACCTAGTGTCCCTTCTTCGGGGAAATGTCTCCTGAAGCCCTTTGTCCCTTGCTCTGATGGGGTTGTTGAGGTGGTCCCAGCCTGCTGGTGGGGGTCGTGGTGGTGATGATGGGCATCCGTGAGTCTGGATTTACTCTGAGTCTCAATCCTTTATCAGATTTGGAGTACTCTCTCCCGTGGGGGTGGGGGGTTCCTTTTCCCTCTGCTGATAGTGTCCTTTGATGTACAACAAGGTTTTGTTCAAGTCCCACTTACCTATTTTTTTTTTTTATGTAATGCTTCTCAGTGTCATATCAATGCCTCTTTCTTCAAGAATCTGTTTTTCTCCTTTCCATGTGACACTAACAGGTACGCACAGGCCCAGGCTGTGTTCCCGCATCCAGACTCACGCCCCACCAGCAGCAGCGCCTCGACCCCCATCCTGCTGATGGGGCAGGCAGCGCTTGCCCACAGCTTCCCTGCCTCCCAGCCGGCTCCCCTGCAGGCCCAGCCGCAGCCGCCACACCACCTACAGGTGGGCACTGGGTGGGGAGGCCCCCGTGGGTTTAGGGAGAGAAGCCAAGCTCCACATTCCACATCTGAAAAGCTTTTTCCTGCCTTGCTTTGAAGGCTGTTTGTCCCTGGTACAAAAGCAGGTCCCAGAAAGACCCACATTTGATTGATTCTAATGCTAAAGCTTTTAAAATGTATGTATGTGAAGTCTGAAAAATTAAGGATCAGCTCTTATACCTCATACGGTTGTATGCACCTAAGGTCTATTTTAAAAAAATAATCTTGCATCTTGATATATCCATGTTTTCTAGAGCTAAAGTCAGGCATGAATGAGGCCGGGTTCGGTGGTGTATGCCTTTAATCCCAGTGGCTCAGGAGGCTGAGGCAGGAGGTTCAAAGCTAGCCTCAGCAAAAGCAAGGTGCTAAGCAACTCAGTGAGACCCTGTCTCTAAATAACATACAAAAAAGAAAGGGCTGGGGATGTGGCTCAGTGGTCGAGTGCCTCTGAGTTCAATCCCCAGTACAAAAAAAAAAAAAAAAGACATGAATATTTTTGTTGGATTTTTCGGTGCATTTATAAAGTTGTGTACAAATACAAAATTAAATCACATTTAGTTAAAGACCCATCAAAATGTCTTAACAAATACAATAACATTGTGTGAAATTGAGACTTTATAAAAAAATATAGAGAAGGCAAAAATTACTTCAAGTAATTATTGAACACACTGGAAGGAATGAGGGTGGACACAACTGGTCTGAGGGCTCAGTGGGAGCCTGCGAGGCTCCCCAAGGGCTCAGCCTCCTCCCTGACACGTGCCCAGGGAGGACACCCCTTCTAACCCAGCCCGCACCCTGCCCTGGGCGGCTCCCTCTCAGCAAGGACAGTCTACACTTCCTTGCTTGACATCTTCAAAGCCAGAGGACCCTTGTGCAGTGGCGGAACCAATTTGAGGACCACAAGATAAAGATGAAGAGGGTTGTCCCTAAAGGGCTGGAAGGTGATTTGACTGCACAGCTGCTGAACTGTCTGGGGGTAGAATTTTCATATCTCTCTGATCCTCCATAGACTGGGTGTCACTCCAAAATTGGCTTTGCAGATAGATCTCTTCAGTTCTTGGGACCCGGAAATGACCGTGGATAGGAAATAGGAAGTGACAAGGCAGGGGTGCGTGGGGAGTAGTTAAGGTCCCTCATATATTTTTTTTTTCAGCAGTAGCAGCAATGGTTTGCAGGCATCTGATGCATGAAGATACAGGGTAAAGACAAAAGAGCTCACTGCCCTTGGAAACCTGGAAGCCCTTAAGGCCCTGGAGTGCACTAGGGAGCTGCCTTAGCACAGTGTGGGGCAGGCTCTGGATTAGTGCCCAGTGGGAACACTGCGGAGGGGAGCCTTCCTGGAGCTAGGGACTTGAGGGGGAGCACTCTGAGGCATCTGCTACAGAACCTGACGCACCCAGGAAATAATAGTCAAAGCGTGGATGAAGGCGAAGGTGTGAAAGAACTGTTTTGGCTGGACCACCCAGCACAAGCACCAGACCCATGTGCAGGGCTTAAAGGCCGGAGGCAGGCCGCTCTGGGCTACTTGGAGAAGTCCATTCATTGGGAGGCAGGAGTGGGAAATAAGATTGAAGCTTTCCAAGTCAGTTTGACCTGCTGAAGCTTCTGAAGTTCAATTCGTGATGTTTCCTATTAGATGCTGGTGAACGGTGGCTTGGGGGATAGTTAGGGGAGCAGGGACCAGCTGTGGAAAGCATGAGACCTAGTGTGCACGGATTCTGCCCTGTCGTCTATCTGCATGTGGCCCCAGGTAGCATCATCCAAAAACATCCAGGCCACGTGACCATCATGGGCACACGTGAAAGAAATCATTCTGGGTGGCCTCGCCCCAGGCCACTGGGTCATACGGAACCCCGGAACCCCGCATAGGCAGAGTTTGGCTCCGGAAAGGGTGCTTCGACTCCACTCTGGGAAGTCCCGCAGCTGATGGCATCTGTAGCCCCAGATCCCTTCCCACCACCTCATTCCCCGGGTAAGGAAGTGACAGCCGAGGGGCTGACCAACCACAGGACGGCTCTGAGCCCCTTTCCTTTCCTTTCCCGGTGCAGGCATCGACCTCTCTGCACAGTGAGCAGCCGGACTCGCTCCTCCTCTCCACCTACGCCCAGCAGCCCGGGACCCTGGGCTACACCCCGCCGCCCCCCGCGCAGCCGCAGCCCGCGCGCGCGCCCCGCAGGGTCAGCCGGCTGTCCGAGTCGTCGGGCCTCCAGCCGCCGCCCCGGTAGTGCCCTGGCCCTGGCCTCGGGACACAATCAGCTTTAACCAATGGACGAGGGGGCGGCCACGGGAGGTGGGGGAAGGGGTTTGCGCTAAACCCTTGGCTTTCGTGCACCCTGCGTACATTTCAGAATTCCTGGATGGTAACCATCCCCGCGGAGCGCAGCGACGGGGACAGTGGAGCGCAGATCAGGAATGCTGGCCCTGTCCCCCTGGCCGCCAGGGTTCCCGGGCGCCCTCCACCGCCATACGGGACGGGAACTGAACGCCCCGGGGAGGCCCGGAAACCCAGTTTACCCGCGGAGACGGCGCCCCTCGCGCACCCCCGCAGCGCGCACCGCCGCCCGGTGCACCCGCGCCCTAGCTGGCCTTCACTCTCCCGATCATCTTTCCTTTGCATTGGAGAAGGACTGGGTCAGAGATCTGTTGGGGAGAGAGAGAGAAAGAGATTATTTTTCATTATTTTTAAAATGGTTGCTTTTGTTTTAATTTGCACAGCTGCACAGAGGAAATAACTTAGGCACTTTATGTTTTTAAAAATAATAAGGTCTCATGACTTCATTTGGAGCCCACATTAACAAAAACAGCCCACCAGTCAGCGAAGCTGGTTGTTATTAACCAAGCTGCAGATTCACACCCTCTGCCTAGATCCTAAGGAGGCTTCACCCAGTTCGCTCCTAGTGGTGATTGTCCCCACCCACCCACCTACCCACACATAACACTGGACTGTTTCCTGTTTACTTCCTTGATTGCAACTACAAAAGTGGACTCAAAGTCAAGCACAATTTTGCGGCTGATTTTCCAGAATTCTGTAGAGAACGCTAAGACTTAGGAGGGAAGAGGTTTCATAAGCCAAGCAGCCTGGGGGGCTGCAGTCCCCGGGAACCCCCACCACGTGTTGGCCCTGAGTGCGAATGCTGCATCTTCCTACATATCTTTCATGATAATTCTGAGGATTGGATTTTTCCTTTTCAAAATGCACTTTGCTTTTTTTGTATGTTTTGTTATGTTGAGATGTTTCTAAAGAAGAGATTTTATGTAATTATGAGTGTAGTGAATTGTACAGCTGTTGTAATAATTACCTATTTCTATATAAAATAAAATTGTACGGATTATGTGTAAATTATTTTGTATCTGAGACGCCAGTTCCTTCCCCAAATATAAAAAGTATAAAAAGTTTTCCTGTGTTTTTCTGTGAGTGGAAACTTTTGTAATAAATTAACAAATTTGTACAATTTCCTCTGTCCCTTTTTCTACATCCACGCATATACATCTTTTCACCTGGAAGCTTTTTTATTTTTCAAGATGTTTCAAGAGTAATCAAAGATTCGGAAATGGTGTGTGCTAGCTTTCCATGGCTGTGACAAAATACCTGAAATAATCAACTTAAAAAGGTGAAAAGTTTCTCTTGGTTCATGGTTTCAGAGGTTTTAGTCCATGGTCTCTTGGTCCTGTTGTTTTGGGCCTGTGGCAGCATGGTACCTTTTCACAGAAGCCCAGGACAGAGGAGGAGGACCCCTGTTCAACTCATATCCAATGGGAAGCGGGTGGGGGGGGGGGGGGGGGGGGGGCCAGGGTCCTAATACCCCTTAAAGGGCACACCCTTAATGACCTAACTTCCTTCCAATAGGCTTCACCTAAAGGTCCCACCACTTGCTAATAGTGCCATGGTCAGGGATCAAGCCCACATGAGCGTTTGGGGGATATTCAAGGTCAAAAGTGATACAGTAAGTCAGGTGATGGTGTTAAGGTTCATGAGCTGCAATGTGCACTAGTCTATCAGCTTGATCGTTAAAGTTTGTGCCCAAAAAAAGGCTCATGGTAGAAATGAAAACAGAAAATATCCAAGGTCATAGGCACGGATAGACTGTGGGAGACAACCAAGATGTTCTCCACCACCGCATTCATTCATTGCCTGTAATTAAACTCACCCAGGCTGGAATTCTATGGATTCTCACTGCCAACACATAGTTACTAGCCATGTGAGCAGGGTGAGTAAGTCTGTGTGTAAGATGTGGGCACACACATGCCACTGGCGTATCTCCAAGGGTCCTGCCAGCTATGGACATCTGCCCCTTCAAGGGGCTCATCACAATAACATGGAGTGCTCTGGTGCCCTGTGTTTGAGAACCATTAAGGTATCATGTCCTTTTCTGAAAGCACTGGCTGGGGAGAGTGAAGTTTGTTTCATAGTTGCATTACTCTCTGTTTCTACCCTCTCTGTAAAGTGGAGAAAGTTCCTCTCAGTTCTATGACTAGGATCAGTTGTGGATGGCACCAGTCCCATAATTGCACTATTCCCGAGAAAAAGAGAACTCAAAATACTTTGCATGCACTAGGAGCATTTATTCTTTGACAGAACCAGAAATGAACACTGTTTTTAAAACAAAAGGTCTGTGCGAAACTGGATCATTTTTTTAATTTAATGTTTGATAAATTCAAAGAGTTAGAGATCTGATTTTTTTTTCTGTAAAAAAAAAGTGTATTTTAATTGTATTCGCATTTTAATTGGCTGTCAGCATCCTTACTGCTACATGGAACAAGATTCTTAATGAGCACAGGGTATTCATTGCCCTAGAATTTTCTAGCTGCCAGCCATTAAAAGAGGGTGGAGTATGCCACACTAACTGAATTTAGCTCTGCCTAAATGTTACACACGTTTAGAATTTGGATAAACTCGGAAAACTCATTGTGTAATCTTTTTTTGAACCCACACACATCATGGGAAGTTTAATCCCTAATCTTTTGATTCATTAAGTTTTGCTCATTAAAAGGCTGTTTTGCAACCCTGCCCTATTTCCAGAAAAACCGTGACCTTTCTATTTGGAAAACAGTACAGTCTTGGCTGAAGAGACCCAACTGAAGTGTGAACTCTGGAGTACACCAAGTTTAAGATATTTTAAACTAACTCAATTAAAATGCAGCATCTTCTGTCTCTTGTGACAACTAAAGTTCATTAAATCAATTTAAAAATTTTGTGTATACATGCAACATGGTGAATTGGCCAACTATTAGAGTGTTCTAAGTCATGACATTTTGCACACTTGCTTAATGTTTGTTCTGGGAAAATTTGAGTGTTTGGTACAAAATCACTTTGGATTTTCTCATCGTGTTGTATAAGTGCAGCCTGAAGTTCTCAAAGTCAGCCATTAATATCCGAGAGAAATAAATAATTTGAATCCTCCAAAGAAATGCCATTTGTGGCTTTATGTACACAATTTCTCATGAACTTTTTACTATACAAGAATTCTGTTTGGGGGAAAATGCTCACTGGAAACGAGGATTTTTTCTCATCAGATTTTTGCCTAACCACTCTTAGGCACTGCTATTACACTGACTCCTTTTAAAATTACAATTACCCTTTTATTAGTTTATGTTTTACTTTAAGCACAAAGTCATGAACACATGACCTTTTATAAACTCAGTTTTTCTAAGCAATCATTGTTATTATTTTATGCTTGAATCAGCACAACCCAACAAGTGGGAGCGTTCTCCTTTATTTGATTCCATTATCTTTTTAGCATTGCCCGTTGGAAACCAGATTTCTTTCTAGAACATCAGGATCATGGTCTGTCTTGATTTCTTTTTCTGCCCTAAAGCATGGAATCAACTGCTCTCTAAGAAGTCTCGTTTCCTTTTGGTTAAAAAGAGAGATTAAACTCTGGGTGCCTGGAGAACAGGCACTGGTGGGTAGCAGGCAGGTAAGGGTGCTACATGGGTCCTGTTGAGTCATTCTGTTGTGATAAAGCTAAAAGCACATTCAGCCGTGTGCTGCATGATGGTCAGTCTCTGATGGTCCACACAGGTGACCGTATACACCACGCTGCCCAGGGCTGAGGCAGGTAAACCATCTAGCTTTGTGTACATCCATTCTGCAGTGTGCACACAAGGATGAACTGTCTAGCAATGCTCAGAAGACAAATCTCTCAGAACAAATTTTGTTATTGACTCAAGACTGTATTTTTTTTCAAAGTCATGAAATCACCTTGATCTCTCCCACGTAATAGATCATATATTGTATGATGGTTTCTAATGTGGTTTTGTTAGCCACGAGGCCTTCCTTCTACATGCCATCCCATGATCTGTTGATTTTTATTTCAAATATTCTTTGTACCATCCGTTTCCTCTGCCTCACTATTAGCTGCCTTACCCAGGCCCCATTTCAGCTGGGTCACAGCAACAACCTCCTCACCAACCTCCCAGGCCCCAGTCCACCCACACAGTACGGCTTGAGCATGCTCTTCATTACCAGGCCTCTTTCCTCTTAAAAATCTTTTGAGCTGCTCCTCTTGGAAAGTTCCACTGGAAATTCCTGGAGCTCAGCCCTCCCAGAGTGACATTGTCTAGGACCCTCTCCTCCCTTAGGGTTTGTCATCCTCTGAGAGGACTGGAATGTAGCCTGTCTACTTCTTTCTGGCTGCCCTAATTGGGAAGCATTCAGAGGTTGTTTCATTTTAAGGATCTGCTGAAAATCACTAGAAGTAAAAAAAAAAAAGCATGGGTGATTAGTACATCTTACAAACACAGGAACTCATAAGTAATTGGATCTCTAGACCCGGCAGTCAGTGGTTGGTCAGAGGCTAGGAGGAAAAGATGCCTTGGAAGGGCTGAACTGAAACACAGAGAACCCCAGGAAGGCTTATGGTTTCTACTCCTCAAAGCAAACAGTCTTTATTACAGGTCTATTCAACCTTGAAGGAAGCAAAATTGACATAAAGAGGGCTGTTCTGTAGATTTCCACCAGAGGAGTCTATTTGCTTCAACAATAAGGATCTATTCACATTTCATCAGTTACATGGAAATGAGGCAGCTGGCAGATTTATTAAACATTCCTTTGCCCCAGAGGGCTAGCCTTTAATTCCCCTCTAGGCGCTGGGAGCCAGATGAAAGGGCAGGATCCCATCTTCACGGAGCACTGCAGCGGATCAGGATCAGAATAGTGATCCCAAATGAGTCACCTGTGAAAGGCCAGTGGCAGCTTTCAGATGCCTGAACACGAGGAAAAGGTCAGGCAGGCAGAGGGGAGGAAGAAAGGAAATGAGAGCAAAGGTCACTGAGTTGAAACAAATCGTGCCCTCCACCTGGATCCCATTTGCTTTTGGCAGGTGTTTTCTCAGCCTAATTTATTATAAGAGTCCCTAGGGGATTGCTAGAAAGGACCTCGTTTTCTGCTAAGAGGCTCGGTGTCCGCTGCAGTTGAGTGCTGTGGGTGGTGGGGTGGGGCTTAGTACCGGAGAGCGCTGCTCTTCCACCCCCACCTCCTACCTTGAAGGGCTGTTGGGAAACCTGCGGGTATAGCACCAATCCTTCTAAAGGATGAAGAGGCCCGTGTTCCTGATGAGATCAGAGACCCTGCTCTAGCCACAAAACTACCTGCCTCCAGTCTTTTTGTCTGAGATTCTGAAATGTGTCCATTGCTGAAACCCCTAGGTTAGGGAGAACTTGCTCCGGGTCTGAGAATTTTCCCATTTTCTGAAATGCCCGGCATTACGCAGGCCTTTTCGACTTGGAAAAATCAAGCGCTTTAATTCTGGCCGTGCGCAATCATCCCTGGGACGGCCAGTCAGGTACAGCGCCAACAGAGGTGCAATAAATATTGGAAAAACAAACAAATATTTGGAAAAACAAACAAGCGTCTTCTCTCCCGGCTCTGCTACCATCCACCTGTGGGCCTTGGTTTGGATTCCCTCGGAAGACAGAAAATAGGAACAAGACGCTCCCCGTACGCTTCGCAAGTAGCCAGGTGGAAGCCCGCGGCAGAAGCCAGAACCGAGCGCACCGCAGATCAGCGCAGCCGCGCCCGCCCAGGCACCGCCCCCACCAGGCTCCGCCCCCAGGACCCCCTCGCGGCTACCCGGGCGCTCCTCGTTTACGTCACAGCCTCGCCTCTCCCCTTCCCTAGCCACACCTCCTGTCCCCGCCTCTGGACGACCCGGAAGTTGTACTTGCAAACGCGGCTTTCCCTCCCACAATCCTTCGCGCCCTTCCTTTCCAACTTGGGACTGGCAGAGTGAGTATGGGTGCCGGGGTTCCAGCTTCGGGAATCCGGCTCCATCAGCCCCCAGGATTGTGCTGGCGAGCACAGCGGAGTCTTGTCGGAGTTGGCTCCGGCTCCGGTTTCTGGGAGATGGGAATCGGCGCTGTGTTAAAGGGCTCCCGGTGCCTGGGAGGGAGAGTGGCAGGCTTGGGAAAGCCGGGGCTGCAGGGGCTTCCTGGTCGAGGGTGCCGGAGGGGC